GCTTTCATCCCCAAACATTTGCTTTTATCCGCAAACATCTCATTTTATCCGCGAAGATCTGCTTTCATACGGTTTCACCAGTAAACATGCTTTTATCTGCGAACGCCTTATTTCATCCGGTTAGTGCACCCCCGCAAACATCTGCCTTTATCCGCAAACATCTAATTTTATCTGCAAAAATCTGCTTTTATCCGCAAACATCTGATTTTATCCACAAACAACTGATTTTATTCGCAAACATCTGATTTTATCCGCAAACATCTGCTTTTATCCTCAAACATCTGTTTTAATCTCCAAACATCTGATTTTATCCGCAAACATCTGCTTTTATCCGCAAACATCTGAATTTATCCGCAAACATTTGCTTTTATCCGCAAACATCTGATTTTATCCGCAAACATCTATTTTAATCTGCAAACATCTGCTTTTATCCGCAAACATATGCTTTTATCCGCAAACATATGCTTTTATCCGCAAACATCTGATTTTATCCGCAAACATCTGCTTTTATCGGCAAACATCTGCTTTTATCCGCAAACATCTGATTTTATACGGAAACATCTGCTTTTATCCGCAAACATCTGCTTTTATCCGCAAACATCTGATTTTATCCGCAAACATCTGATTTTCATCGCAAACATCTGATTTTATCCGCAAACATCTGCATTTATCCGCGAACATCTCCAAACATCTGCTTTTAATTGCAAATCTCTGCTTTCATCCGCGTTCGGTTTGCCTGTATTTCCTTTGTCCATTTCGGTCCTGTTTCGTACGCAAACGTCTGGTTTCATTCGCGCTTTTTGTTTTCGTTTTTCTCGTGTATACTTTAGTTAAGTTTACCTGCTTTGTCAAATTTTACTGAGCTTTAACTAACTGGTTCTTAGCCGTTCACGGCACACAACTCTAAAAAGAATTATTTGAATAAAAACAACCTGTAAAGGAAATAAGTTTATTCAACAGCACATTAATGAAAATTTTCCCAATGGGAAAATAATTTAATTATATTCACCAGATTTAAATTTAAAAATCAGGTATACTATAGACTATAGTGAAGAGTACCACAGAAATAATAAGTATATTAATTCTTACATATATATTAAAAATATTGGTTATGCCAAAATTAAAAAGTTTTTAAAGTTAGATGAAAAATTCTACGCCTAAATAAGTGTTTTTCAAACAAATTCCATACAAATTGAAGATGTTATAATTCCAAATGTATTTGAAATTAAACATACAGGGTGTCCCAGAACTCGCGCCACAGAGAAAAAGGGGGCGTGCCGATAGCAATGGAGATGCCAAATTTAAAAATAAAAAATTTCTAGGTAATAGTGTAATCGAATGCTAGGAGACGATAGAACATTGTTGTATTAAAAACATTTAAAAATCTTTTGGCCAACTGTATTTACTAAGTTGTCAAAAGCTTTCAAAAATGAGGTTATTAATCTATGACTTATACTTCAGAACGCCAATGTTTTAAAATAACGATTAGGAAAGGGCTGGGAAAAAACTCGCGTTGTCTCCCTGGCGTTGCGCCCACACTAAATAAATAAATAATTATCATTTCAGTATAATCATCTAAGGAAAACATTATTTATAATAACTTAATTTATAACCTAATATAATATTAATGACAGGAGTTTGACAGCAGTGTCACAATGAATTGGATTCCAGTGGACCAAATATTTTTCATATTTTTTATTATCAACAATGCAACCTAAGTTTCCTAACAATTTAAAGAATTCCCTATGGCCATCTATTGGGATTGGCTATCGTTTTTTATTCTTATCTCGCTTATCCTTTGCGTTAGACAATTTTAATTTTCAAATATGTGTTTCACGTTACTTTCGGCACGTTCCAGTCATAGATAATAGTTTTCTATGTGGCGCGAGTTCTGGGACACCCTGTATATGTTTTCTAACAATTAATTTAAATGTAAGCTTAATGATTAAAAAATATATACTTATGTCCTTTAACAAAGACCTTATTTGTATTTTACCAAATAATATTTACAGGTTGTTTTTATTCAAATAATTCCTTTTAGAGTTATAAAGTTGTGTGCCAGTTAGTTAAAGCTCAGTGAAATTTGACAAAGCAGTTAAACTAAACTAAAGTATACACGAGAAAAAGGAAAACAAAAAGCGCGAATGAAACCAGACGTTTGCGTACGAAACAGGACCGAAATGGACAAAGGAAATACAGGCAAACCGAACGCGGATGAAAGCAGAGATTTGTAATTAAAAGATGTTTGGAGATCTTCGCGGATAAAAGCAGATATTTGCGGATAAATGCAGATGTTTGCGGATAAAATCAGATGTTTGCGATAAAAATCAGATGTTTGCGGATAAAATCAGATGTTTGCGGATAAAAGCAGATGTTTGCGGATAAAAGCAGATGTTTCCGTATAAAATCAGATGTTTGCGGATAAAAGCAGATGTTTGCCGATAAAATCAGATGTTTGCGGATAAAATCAGATGTTTGCGGATAAAATCAGATGTTTGCGGATAACATCAGATGTTTGCGGATAAAATCAGATGTTTGCGGATAAAAGCAGACATTTGCAGATTAAAATAGATGTTTGCGTATACAATAAGATGTTTGCGTATAAAATCAGATGTTTGCGGATTAAAACAGATGTTTGTGGATAAAATCAGATGTTTGCGGATAAAAGCAGATGTTTGCGGATAAAATCAGATGTTTGTGGATAAAATCAGATGTTTGCGGATAAAGGCAGATGTTTGCGGATAAAAGCAGATGTTTGCGGATAAAAGCAGATGTTTCCGTATAAAATCAGATGTTTGCGGATAAAAGCAGATGTTTGCCGATAAAAGCAGATGTTTGCGGATAAAATCAGATGTTTGCGATTAAAATCAGATGTTTGCGGATAACATCAGATGTTTGCGGATAAAATCAGATGTTTGTGGATAAAATCAGATGTTTGCGGATAAAGGCAGATGTTTGCGGATAAAAGCAGATGTTTGCGGATAAAAGCAGATGTTTCCGTATAAAATCAGATGTTTGCGGATAAAAGCAGATGTTTGCCGATAAAAGCAGATGTTTGCGGATAAAATCAGATGTTTGCGATTAAAATCAGATGTTTGCGGATAACATCAGATGTTTGCGGATAAAATCAGATGTTTGCGGATAAAAGCAGACATTTGCAGATTAAAATAGATGTTTGCGTATAAAATCAGATGTTAGCGGATTAAAACAGATGTTTGTGGATAAAATCAGATGTTTGCGGATAAAAGCAGATGTTTGCGGATAAAATCAGATGTTTGCGTATAAAATCAGATGTTTGCGGATAAAGGCAGATGTTTGGAGATTAAAACAGATGTTTGCGGATAAAAGCACATGTTTGCGGATAAAATCAGATGTTTGCGAATAAAATCAGTTGTTTGTGGATAAAATCAGATGTTTGCGGATAAAATCAGATGTTTGCGGATAAAATCATATGTTTGCGGATAAAATCAGATGTTTGCGGATAAAACCAGATGTTTACGGATAAATGCAGATGTTTGCGGATAACATCAGATGTTTGCAGATAAAATCAGATGTTTGCGGATAAAAGCAGATATTTGCAGATTAAAATAAATGTTTGCGGATAAAAGCAGATGTTTGGAGATTAAAACAGATGTTTGCGGATAAAAGCAGATGTTTGCGGATAAAAGCAGATGTTTGCAAGTAAAATGAATCAGACTATTGCGGACTAAATGAGATGTTTGCGGATTAAAACAGATGTTTGTGGATTAAGTAGATCTTCACGTATAAAAGCAGATGTTTGCAGGTGAAATCGGATTAAGCAGACGTTTGCGGATTAAAGTAGATGTTTGCGGATAAAATCAGATAAAACCGGGTGAATGCAGATATAAACTCAAATACAGGTATTTGCGGATGAAAACAGATAAAAGCAGACATATATTTAAATAGATAAAACCCGACGTTCGCGGATAATATTTATACCCGCAATTGCAGATAAAAACCGACATGCCGGGTAAAATCAGATATGTCAGATAAAAACAGATATAAATGGACATAAAACTAGCTTGGTTTTTTATCCGCAATCATCCGATATTACCCGTCTTTTTCAGCAGGGTTAATACAGAAGTGAACTGTTACTTAATAAATTTTGATTATCAATACATCAATACACATCAATACACCGCCGACGGTGGTCTAGTGGTTAGTGCTGCTGACTACAAGCCGGAGGTCGTGGGTTCGAAATTGTTGTCCTATTGTGTAATAGTCCTTCGGAGGGGACTTTAAGCCCGCGGTCCGTTCCTACCCCTAACCCGCACAAGCCATTCAGTTGGCTTATGGGACTTCTTAAGAAGTAAGGGTGGAACTAAAAGAGCACTTTTGTATAGTTGAAAATATTTTAAATTTATAAATGTAAACCTAAAATTTTTAGTTAGGAAAATTTTAAACCAATAAATTAAAAAATTATTTAATAAATGAGAAATCGGCGTGCCATAGATCCGGCCCATTTTTTATAAAGGTTGCAATTACAGCCCAAAGCAAATTTTCTCAAAATTTGGTCGAAAAATATCGAGTTGGAGATCGATTTCCGATAAATGTATATTTTTCCAGTTTTGAACACCCTATTTCTCCAAAATAAAGCGGTTGCAAACCTAAATTGATATGAACTTTTTTCTTTAAATCAGCCAAGGGTTGAGCCCTTTTGGTATTAGCATCTAATTCCCAAAGAACATTATATATTCCCGCATAAATTTTTTTAAACATTGAAATATGCTTTAGAATATATACATTATTTTTAAAATATATAGAAGTTAATTAACTTTAAATTATATTTAATTAATGAAATAATTCGATTTATCTCAAATAATTTGTACACCCCTGGTGGTAATATTACCCCTATATAGCTATTAAATACTACAAAAAGTTTATGTTGGGACACCCTTTACATACCCATGAAGCATAAAAGTGTTCAAATTAAAAATTAAAATACTTAATGGAAATAAAATTATTCTTTAATTATTATATTTAAATATCACATGTACAAAGCTAAAAATATTCAATATTAAATATAAAATTATTTGTAGATAAACCTCAATTCTAGCATAAATTCTTACTTAACTTATACCAGCAAACATTATTTACAAATTCATTAAATGCAAGCATTAAAATTAACTACCACAGCAACTTTTACTGGGTGGAGTAATCTCATCATCCACAACTATAACATTACGTCTTTGAGAATTCTGTCTTGATAATGGCGATGATTTTTGGTTTTCTTTCTCGTCACTTATATCCAACATTTTTGTCGTTAAAGACATAAACATATCTTCTACACCTATGTTTTGTTTTGCCGACGTTTGGCAATGTATAGCTCCCACTTTACAAGCATATCTGAAAATTATTTTTTTAATAAATTAAGTCTTCAAAGAAGCTAAAAGCTATGTTATTTTTTTTAAATTCTTGTTTAGTTTCTGTGAAACAGTGATATTAATTCATTGTTCATTGCCTTTATAATAAGCATTGCTTTTATTAGGTATAATAAAAATGGAATGCTCAACTACCTTTATAAAAAAAATAATCTTATTCAAATTGAAATTTAAAAAACCGTTTGTTCGAAAGTTAACTGAGCACAAAACTATACTATAAAAAAAAGTTTTAAACAGCACAACAAAATTAGAAATGGCTTTTCTAGCGTGGAATCATAGCAATTACTCCTGATGAGCAAGCCGATAGTCGAGTGAAGAAATTTATTGAGGGAGTAATTGCGATTTCACGCGATGTAAACACTATACTTTTTTGTCGAGTGGAATCGCTTACAAATACAAAATTTGGATACTAATAAAAATGCGGCGATTGTATTTGCAATTGTTATTAATTACCCAGTAAGCGCCAAACACTCGGCCTTCGCTCGGCATAGGCGCTTGACCGGCTGGCCCCCAGTTGTCCCGCTTATGGCCCGGTACCGTTTGGCCATGTTCTAACCAAAGTCGGCCAGAATACGGTATGCCGCTGCAAAATCGTTCGGCTTGCCCTAGCCGGCCAGTTTACGGCCGGAATACGGCCTGCCGCGGCATAAGCAATACATCTCACCGCTGCTTACGCAAGCGAGCTAACTATAAATAGCGATGGGTTGCAATATTTAGTTGGAAGTGTGCGTCTGTAATGGCATAGCTGAACATTAATTGTCTGAAGTCCCCATCTCCATCCTCATCTGCTCAGTAAGGAATAATGGCTAGCTATAGTCGAGTGTGTTAAACCTATAGGATACAGGACGTCTGAAGGCTTTTTTTGAATTGCCAGGCTGTTGTGGCCGGCACTCGGCCAACTATACACAGCCGACACTCGGCCAGGCGGACATGCCCGGTCTACACGCCCGAACAAATACATGTGTGGTCTAGGGTCGGGCCGCACTCGGTCGATTCGGCAAAACGTATTCGGGCCGTAAGCGGGCCGGATAGCTTGTGCTTACTGGGTAATGACATTCATTTCTCCCGTTGTGAACAATCTTATTCTTTTCCCTGTATATATTTTTATGTCCTCCCTGTTATCAGTTAAGAAATGTTTCATTCTCTTCCGCTACCATGACGGCGCCACAGTGTGATTGACTGAATGTAAACGTCAGAATTAAATTAAACGTCAGATTTAATTTTGACATTAGTTTTTGCGGGTAACCAAATTGTGTATTTGTAAGCGATTCCACTCGACAAAAAAGCATAGTGTTTACCTCGAGTGGAATCGCAATTACTCCCTCAATAAATTCCTTCACTCGCCTGTCGGATCGCTCGGGAGCTTTCATAATAGGGAGTAATTGGCATGATTCCACGCTCGGTAAACAATAGACTAATTATTTGTTGTTTTTTCCTTTATATATGGCCCATGGACTATGGGTTTTATGTTAACACATAACCAACAAATAAATTATTTTTGGTTGCACTTTTAAAAATGCTCGAACATTTTTTAAAGCGCTCGAGCACTTTAGAGCTGTTTTCGAACTTTATGAGCATTTTTAAAATTGCTCATCCTCTAAAAAATGCTAATATTTCAGGCTTAATGCTAATATTTAAGGGTAATTCCTCATTTTGTGAAGAAAAGTTCATATGAAGCATTACTTGGTGATAGATATATAATATATACCTAACCAAAATTTGAAAATTTTTTATTGTTATTTGTCAATACTGCTTAAAGAAGCAGTTTTAATTTAATTGTTTTCTGTGCTAATTATGAAAATATTTTCTGAACAGCTTTCATTTTTTGCTACAGGGTTTTGAAAAAATAATTTTAATAAGTATTATTTTTAATATCTTAAAGTATTTATTATAATATCATTGATTAAGGTTCAATCAACAATAAAATTATTTCCAATATTAGTGTGTTTGAATACCTATTGAAAGGATATTTCAGTTGGATTTTTCTTAGCACAGAAAACAATTAAATTAAAACTGCTTCTTTAAGCAGTATTGACAAATAAGTAACAATAAAATTTTTTCAAATTTTGGTTGATTTTCCAGCATAACAGAAGGCAAGCTTTAGAAAAACTGGGCATCTGGGAATCCCTAGACACATTTTAGATGGAATAACATAGGAATACTTATGACCAGTTGGAAATACATGGAAATTTATGGACATTTTCCCTTTGTGTAGTTGACCCCTTGGCAATGTAGCAAAACATTTAAGCCAGAAATCACATATTAGGAATGTTATCACATTCGCTGCCATCTCTGAGATAGTGCTGGGCCTTAGGGGCCAACTACTTGTTTAGATAGGCGACTCCATATGGAGTTGATGGCACATCATGTGATAGCCGACCAGCTCTGAGCGGAGTCAGTGGCAGCGAACGTGTTAAAGTTACTATACTTATTTGAATAACATCATGTGTAATTATAAACTTTAACATACTCTTCAGCATCTTCCAATGTTACATTTCTATCTTTTTCCAAGTCTATTTTGTTACCAGCTATTATCAAACAGATATCAGCTCCCAACATCTTTCGAAGCTCCTTAACCCAACTTTTGACTTTTTGAAAGGAATCCTGATCAGTGATGTCGTACACCAGTATAGCTCCATTTGAAGATCTATAATAAATTGGGCCTAAAGCATGAAACTGTTCTTGCCCTGCTGTATCCCAAATAGCTAGATTAACCCTTTTTCCATCTATGTTTAGTTTTTTGTTTAAAAACGCTGCCTAAAACGCATAAAAATCATAACTTTGCCGATTTGTTTACATCTGCTAAAATACCTGCACAGTGCTAATATGGTTATTATTGAATTTATCGTCGACATATCTTAATACAAGACTGGTTTTGCCGACACAACCTTCTCCAAGCAATACAATTTTAAAATTTCTCACACCGCTATTATTTCCTGTCATTGCCATTTTTTTAAATGTTCATTTAATTTTTACTTCAACCTCAAAAACAATTCTGACAAAAAATGCATTTTTACGATCAGCTGTTTGGTTGAAAATTTGTGGGCGTGACAGGCACCTGTCATTTCTTAAAATCTTAAGTTGACATCGTAAATTCAACAATATCTCACAACAAAAATAGTTTTATAATATTGTTTGATTAATATTTATCCCATGACCGGCGAGTTTCAGTTACATACATTGCATTTAATGTCATTTTAATGCATTTTTAATGTAGTGGCGGGAAAATTTTAAATTGATGTGGAAGTAACTACCCTAGTCAAAACAGTGCAAAAGTTTTGGTAAACATAATAAAGTAAGAATATTTTAAACACAGCATGATATTAACTTGTATTTTAATTTATAGATAACATTTCAGTTTATTTGGTTTGGAGAATTAGAAGCTATTAACAATATATTTTTAAAAACAATTTATGAAAGTTTTACTTGCGCAGAAAGCAGCGCGAAGAATCATCAGTGTTTCTAGCCGTCATCTGTGTTGTATTGGTAAGTAGATTGTCAATTTTATTTTCCATAATACTAATAAAATACACCGAATCATTGCATGATTTGTATTAAATTCAATGATACTAAGCATAAGGCATCATTGAACATGATTGTCATTGGAAATTATCGCGTTGTTCATTTAAAATATCCATAATTTCTTTGGCGTCCTATCGGTGGTGTAAAGCGTTTGTTAAAGTTACGGTAATATGCTTTCTAATAAGGTCATTCATTGAATATTAAACTTGATTTAGATAATTTGTTAGTGAAAATGCATGTTATATTAGTTTTGGGGTTTAAATCGTATGTTTCCAGTGAAAATCCCGTGTTGCTACCAAGTGCCATGTTTTACTTAACACAGATTTGGCACGTAGGCCTTACTTTCTCCAATACACGTGTGTTAATTCGCTTAATTCGATTATGTTGCAATTATTCTGCAATAAGTCTGCAATTGCAAAATCCTTCGAATGCCCCTTTATCAATGCCACAAGAAATTTAATTAATTTAAAGAAATTTCAATGGCAACAACTCTCCACTTGGACTTGTATACAGTGCATATTCATATGAAGGGAATTGGTTGTTTCGTTCATAATATTGTTGTTTATCATTTGATTATTTATTTTTAAATGCAGAAGATTTTAATTTTTATAAATTAATAAAAAATGGGGTTGTAATTCATGGTTGTTTGAAAAATCAACTTTATCTAATTGCATTTCAGAGTTTTGAGCGGGATATTTTTCGTCTTTTTGGCCTACCTACTAGACGAGATAAGCCTATGCACCCATGATAAAAGGTACTTTTATTGATAAAATCGAGTAGGAATGCATTGTTGTTGAAATGTCATTTTAGGACCGTGTGCAAATAAGCGAATGTGTTGTTTGTTTTTAAATGCAAGCGTTGCACTTGACACATTTTCGGTGCAATACGTTGCTGTGTCGTTTAGAAAACATAAAACCGGCACCAGAATCGGTGCACCGCAGTAGGCCGGCATTTCCATTATGGCCGCCCGAGAGAACGTGCCATCGATCGCGTACGCACGTAGCGCGAGGCTAATGCCCCGCACGCAATTGTTTTTTTTTGTTATTTTCGTGGGACATCGCAATACCCGAATCAGGTATATCGGCCAAAAACAAAATTTTTAAAGACGACGACGATTTTAAACTGCACTTTATATGCGACAGACGGTTTTATTTTATTTTTGCGCGGTAAACAAGGACAAATGCAGATATAAACATGACTTAAAACCGAAGAATAACCGATAAAAATGTAACAAACATGTTGGGAAATCGCTGGCATAAATAAAGAAATTTAGGTGTCTGTCGGTTATATATTAAATTGATAATATTCCAGATAGTTCCAACATTGTTAAAAATGCAACTTGCACTTAATTTTTTATTCATTTAGCATATCTTTACCACTAAATAAAGTAAATTTTACCTATCGCTAGTTAAGTAAAAGATAATTTACTTTTAATTACCCAATTAAAAAATAAGAGTATTGATAAACATTAAATGTTATTCTTATTTGCATAAATAATTTATTATTACATACTCTGCAAACAATAGATAAGATTGAACATTGCAATAACCTTAGTCAATATTTTCTATGTAATTCTTGTATGCAAAAATATATTACTTTTATCTAAAAATGTGGTTAATTTAAATAAGTCCTTATAATTAATAATATTATTAACTGCGACCCCGACTTTTTAAAAATAATGATATAATTATGCTGTGCTGGCGATAATAATAATTTTGTTTAATAATATTTAAGCTCATCGCAACCTTGGGTGAAATTAGATTGTTATAGATTTTATTCGCTTTTTAATTTATGTCTTCACATTCCAAGCATGTTGTACCTAATTAAAAGAACGATAATATATATATTCTAAAAAAGACGCACAACTTATCGATATGTACTTATAAGTATAATTATAATTACACGATTCAAGTTTTTATAGTAGTATAGTATACTAGTTAATGATGTTGAGCAATTTTTTTTTAACGTCTGGCCATTTACATACAGCAATATTTAATGTATAGTCGCGACCAAATCTGCATGGGGCACGTCATAAATGCGGTATAATGACGTTATTATCCTTAAACTTTAAACTGTTAAGTTACTGCCGTTAAAATTGCTTTTTTTTAAATTATTATTTCTATGCGTATTGGAAAAATTGTAAAAATATCCATGTTTTTCAAAGTTTATTATTACAAAATTATGAAGAAAAAAACGTTAATGACGTGAATACATGTAGATTTGCCCGCAACTATGATTAAAGTTTTAATTTATTGAATTTTTAAATAAAAATTTTGAGTTTTTGATGGTTGGTTTATTTTTTTATTAGGTTATAATCACAATAGTATAATTAGCCAAAATTTGATTTACACACTTACCACTTGCCTGCTTTTCCTAAAATTAGTTCTGAAAACTTTCATTAGAATTTTATTTTAAAAATAATTAAAAGGAATAATAAAATTATTATAATCTTGAAAAGGGGCGTTTTTGTCATATACAATGTACAAGGTGTGTTAAGAAAATAACGGGAATTGTTAAATTTCGCGGGTTCGGAGGGTCCGGTTGTCATAAAATTTTCTTTATTATGTTGGTATACATGCCCCCGAAGTATGATAAAAACGTTAGCTGTTTTCACTGTTTACTTTGTCTGTGGCAGCCGCTAAGGTTAGACGTGTTTTATGAGCTCGGCGATTTTCGTTCGTTAAAAGAAATGGATCAAAGAATTTGGTATCCAATTTTGCTTAAAAAATGAAATAAATTCTGTGAAATGTTAACAAAGGACTATAGTGAGTCTGCTATAAGTAAAACAAGAGTTTACAAGTGGTATAAAAGTTTCCAAGATGGCCGTGAAGATGTCGAACGCCCCGAACGCACAAGCACATTAACAACCTATAAAAACATGGAAAAAGTGGAAGAAATGGTTATAAACCATCAGAGAAGTCGCTGATGATGTTGGTATATCGATTGGCTCATCTCATGAAATTTTTTCGAATGTTTTGAGTATGAAGCGCGTGGCAGCAAAATTTGTTCCAAAATTGTTAAATTTTGAACACAATTTCTGGCCAAAAACAATAATGATGCCCCAGCCTCCATATTCGCCAGACATGCCTCTGTCTGACTTTTTCCTATTCCCAAAAATAAAGATAACCTTAAATGGCCGTCGTTTTGCAAGCATAGATGACAATAAAAGCGCATCGCTGAAAGAACTAAAGGCTATCCCAAAGATCGAGTTTTAGAAGTGTTTCGAGTATTGGAAGAAGAGCTGGCACATGTGCATAAAATCCAATGGGGACTATTTTGAAGGCGACAACATTAATGTAGACGAATAAATAAATATTTGTTTCAAAAAACGAAAATTCCCGATATTTTCTGAACACACCTCATATATTATACATTTTTCCGAATGCTGGAGAAATTCTCCAAAATTAGTTTTAGTGTAGTAGTGTAGTTATAAATAAATCAAGTATTATCTCCTCATTCAAAAATGTCTAAATTGATAAGATTCAATTTTACTTTTTTGTCTATCGGGATTTTTTATTATATCCGTTTTTTTTATTCGATTATATCTGTCACGGCTAATGTGCAAACTTGGATAGTTTATAAACTAGCCAAACTGTCAGCTATTTTAATTGACTATTTCCCTCGTCTTAATTTCCACCAATCATAAACGCGCAATTTTGAATTACAAATGGTTTCCAGGTGAAAAAACTGTGTGACAGCTGTTGTCACCAAAAATTGCAATTTATATTTTAATTGTTAACTGTTACTCATGAAATAGTCTTGTCAAATACCATTCGGGCATCTAATTTTTCCTGTGAAAAAAATCAAAAAAAAAACACAATGCTAAGTAATATTTTTTAACAAAATGCATTCGTGCAGGTGCAAAAATCCTCCTCTTCTACTCGGATTTTTGTTGCCACCAGCAGTCATGCTTTTTGTTAAAATATTACTTAGCAACGTGTTTTTTCGATTTTTTTTCTGAAAAATTAGATGCCCTTATGATATTACTTACGAAAATGTATTTTCAACTAAATTAGCGGCTAGTTTACAAAATAACCAAGGATCTTGACTGATTTACTTGAAATTATTAGGGAAACTAAAATAGCTGGATAGTTTGTATATATACTATCCAATTCAATTTGGCTAACATAAAAACCAAAATTTCTAGTAACACAAAATAGCCAAGCTTTTACTAGTTTGGAAACTAACCAACTAATTTTCTGGCTATTGCCCATTTTAGTTGGGTTTTTTGGTCAATTTGGCGGGGGGGCCCAATGGGGCGGGGTTGGTTGTGTTGTTGTGTTGTTGAGTTTGGGTTGGGTTGGGCTTTTTTCTCTCATTTTTGACCATTTGACCAATGGGGCGGGGTCGGTAGGGTTGTATTGTTGAGTTTTCTAACAAGGAAGCGTTAAAATTTTGCCTATGATTCATTTTAAAAACGTTAAAATGTACAAAACAAATCCGGTTAAGCCGGCAAAACGAAAAACAATGCCGTAACCTCACTTTTTTAATAAATTCGCCAGAGAATTGGTTGTTTAGTTTACAAACTAGCTAAAGCTTGGCTATTTTGTGTTACTAGAAATTTTGGTTTTCATATTAGCCAAACTGAATTGGATAGTATACAAACTATGCAGCTATTTTAGTTTCCCTAATAATTTCAAGTAAATTAGCCAAGGTCCTTGGTTATTTTGTAAACTAACCGCTAATTTAGTTGAAAATATGTTTTCAATTAAAGTAGCTGACAGTTTGGCTAGTTTATAAACTGTCCAGCTAGTTTATAAACTATCCAAGTTTGCATATTAGCCGTAACATATCCATTATATGTACATAGGTACTTTAAGATATTTATATTTTACATTGAATTTATATCGTCTCCCGCTAATACCAAAAACATAACCCTTTTAATAAATGTTATACATATTTATGGTATTAGCGGAAGCCGATATAAAGTCAATATAAAATAATATAGTAACCCACAATTTTTTTATTTGAGAAAAGTTAATCCTTTGAAGACTATTTTTAATAAAAACATAATATGGTATTGGCCTTTTGTTATAACAATACTATAGTATTTGTGTATACTACTTAGATTTGCAATTAATATGATGAGTTTATAATTTTAGTTTTTAGTATAAGGCTAAAAAAATATGAAAAAAATTGATTTTTTTACTACGAAAACTTTCTTTGTACACTTGGTCTTGGACCGCTCGTCTTAATTGATGTTATGTTTGATAGTTGTTTTTGTCGAATTTCTAACATAAAAAAAAACCGTGGCCAAATACCCAACTTTGCCTTTTGATTAAAAAAGTTTACTTTTGAAAGTTTCAAAATATTAAGATTTGATCTACTTGAAGTACTATTGGCCAATTTTTTATTTTTTAATCGCACAAATCATTGGTTAGGCGCTATTAATGCGATAATTAAAAATACTATCCTAATTATATTTATTTGTTATATTTACATAGTGTGTATTACTTGTGTTTAATGCATTAACAATAAAATAAATGTAAACGAAAATTAATAATGATATTTTAAAGTCGCAAAAACTATTAACTTCATTGCAAGTTAAGTTTTCTCATTAGGATAACAATATAGGCAACCAAGGTATACAAATATCTAAAAACTTTTGTCACACGTACCTTACCAAATTGCACATACCTACTACAAAACAATACCTTAATTTTTTGGAATTGCAATACAAAAACCACTTATACCGCAGGTTACCAAAAATAAGAGAAAAACTCGATTAACGTTTTTTTCTTCTTTTACGATTTTTTTTCCTATTTGTATACTACATAATAAGCACAGTACAGTAAATTTATAATTTGATTTTTTCTTAAAATAGAAATAGAAAATTCCTCTAATTATATCATTTTTTTTTATGTAACTTGCATCCCTTGGCTTCTAATATGTAAGGAAGTTTAGAAAACAAATTTTTCTACTCCTATTACGGAATTTGACCGTTCTAATATCACATATATTCCGTAAAGTGCTACAGAATGAAATATTCTATCATCTGATTACAGAATAAACACTCGTGGCGACATCTCTGTTTTTAATATCTAACAAATTTTAGACCGATCCAACCTCACTTTCTTCCAATTAAATAATTTTTCTATGGTATTTTTTGGAAACGTAGAAAAAGTATAGTCTGAAACACGTTTGGAATTGCATATTCCGCTCTCGTGAAACCGTCAAACTCGCCTTCGGCTCGTGTGACATACTCATAAAATACACATTCTCTCTTATTAGTTTTGTTTCCATGTCAATCGCAGTTATCTAACTTTAAACATCTTTTTAGAGAACCCTATATTTTAAAACCAGAAACTGATTCATTTTTTATTTGGATGACAAATGCATTTTAAATCAGACAAAATGAATTGAATATTAAAATAAAACCCATTTAATTTTTTTAATAGGACCAAATACGACAATTAAAAATCAATGAGTTAATAATAGTGTTAATGACCTATTAATATTGTTATTGCGAGTTGTAGTTGTATTTCGAAGCCGTGTTGTCGGGTACCACTAAGTGGTAATACCACTGTGGTATGTATAAATAAACAAAATAACGCCCAAGCGGGTTTGCTACTTTCATTGACTTGGAAATCTATAAATAGCCTGGCGGACAGAGACGGAGACTTTGGAGGGGCACCTCTCGTGTTATCATATGCCAAACAGAACCACGTAAACAACAACTGGTGTGGATACCATGCGTGTTTCAAAGAAGGAAAACACTTGCTGCAAAGCAACTGCAAAATGCAATTGCCTTTTAATTCAATTATAACGCGTTTTATGCATTTATGTTTTGACGCCTGCAATTTTTTTTCATTTTGTCTGATGTGGTTAAAATCTTAATACAAACCCATTTGTGCAAGTGTGGCCACGTATAATTGATAAGCATTTCTAAATATACTGGTACTCAGAAAATGATATGATTATATATGTGGTTTAATTAGGAGATTTAATAATGTTTATGGTTTTTTGAACCACACTTGATAATTTTACCGAATTTACGTAAAGGAAAACAGGTTGTCCCTGATATTTATAAACTTGTTGATCATTTAATTGCTGTAATGCAAATGCTTAACCCAATTTAACATCATGGTTTGTACTTTAAGGTACTCAATTTTTTGCCTGTTGTATAATCTAAAAATTGACTAAGAACATATTGAAACAACAATTAATGTTATGTTTTTTTAGGTTTTATTTTCACTAGGTTATTCCAGTCACTCATCATGTTCTCGTTTCATAGGCCTAAGGTTTACAGGTCATCCACAGGCTGTTGCATATGCAAAGCAAAGTCTAGCAGGTATGTTGTATAATATTATCTTTAAAGAAGCTAAACTCTAAAATAAAAATTTTATTTCCAGTTCCCGTTTTACGGATAGTAAGAAATATGAGGACGATTTTTTGGAATGTTTCAAACTATGCACACCTAGACAGGGCGAAATATGCAACGCTTGCGTGTTACTTGTAAAAAGATGGAAAAAACTACCTGCTGGTTCAGATAGAAATTGGCAACATGTAAGTAAACAATATTCCGTTTTTTATAAAAAAAAAGCGTCTGCTAAATGAATTTGTTTTATTCTTGTTATTAAAGTAATAATGGCTTCATTGTTCACACTAATTACAATATTATTTATTACAATGACATGATTTATATGTTTTAAATTGTAATAAACTATCTGTTTATTTAATTTGTTATGAAAAAGCCTATTTTATATTTGCCTTTTTCTTGTCCTGATATAAAAATTAAAAACTTTTTTAAGTTTAAATTAATTTATAAATAATTTTTAATACAAAATTTTTACATTTTTTTACATTTTTATTTTTTAATATTTTACATCAGATTTACAATATGTATCATAATTATTTTGTTATGATATATAAAATGTTTTGCAGGAAAAATAACTATATAGGTAAAATTTACTACAATTTTGCATATATATATATATATATATTTAAAAAATATAAGTTTTATATAAGTTGATACGATTTAAAAAAATGTATATACCTATTAAATTTAGCATCATGCAAAGTTCGATATAAAAAAATGTTCGTTTAAAAAGTCCCCGAGCGATGGCGCTACCAGTTTATGATTTTTTTTGTGTCTGTGGTTGAACCCAAAGGCTTTGTTATCCATGGTTGAACCTAAACTAAAAATAATTAGACAGAATCTTAAATAAATGCTTAAAAAAAGTTTAAAATACGACGGCGAAAGCATATTAATTGCCTCGCACACAATCTACTGCCTCGGCTGTGAAATGTATCCTCGGCGATGAAATGTGCTTTCTCCGCCTGGTCTATAAAATCGTAAAAACTTAAATAAAACTTATATTTTTAAATATATGTGCAAAATTGTAGTAATTTTTACCGACATTGTTTTTCCTGCAACACATTTTATATATCATAATATGAAATAATTATAGAACATATAAATAAATAAATAAAGTTTTTATTCAATATTGAGTACCGTAAACACGGGTGACTTTAGCTCGCTTTCAAACTTAAGCTTAGAAATTTTGTAGATTTAACAATCATAAACATTAAATATTGTATACCAAAATTTGAGTCTTGAGTTGCTCTTTCATAATAACAATAGTAACTATTGTAATAGTAATTAAATTAAATTACGGTAGCTTTTACTCACAATTTTTTATTGTAACGGACGCTACAAAAATTCCCGAGTAACGTGGAATGGCTGTATAATATTATGTAGGGCTGAGTTTCAAAAATAAAAATTAAAAACTGGGTGTGCTGGTTGTGGGTGCATGTTAACAGCGACATATAGCGATTGCAAGGTATTATCAATAAAAAAAATAAAAAATCGACCTGTAGTTAACCAAGGATCATCATTTCAAAGGATTGTGCATAATATAGAAATTGTAACGCGTGTATTTTTAAGAGTTTTGCACTGATGCAATATATACAATTTTAAAGTGTAATAAATCCCATTTATTTCTTTAAAACACTGATTTTCCTGTAATGTAAACTTAATAGAATCGCTCAGTTGACAGGTTTAGACCAAAAAATTATAAATGTTAATTTTATCGAGCGCGAAAAGATTTTTCATAAAAGGGTTAAAGTCACCCGCGGGGTGCGAATTATATTATATACTATATTATAGAACATAAAATACAAAATAAACAAAAAGCCATTGACCGGGGTCCTTATGAGGACCCTAGAAGCCAAGGGGTACAAGTACCTTTTGTTTAGTTTTGAGATAATCAAGTAATTTGTAGTCAAAGTTGTTTGTTGTTTTATGACTTTGTTTTTCAAGATGTCTAAGCTTAGCTATAAACAAAAGTATAACCAAATCTGTTAAAATCTTAATTTTTTACAATAGTATTTTGAAAAAGTATACATATTATGTTGATAAATTTACCATTTCAATCATGTCTTTATGTAAACAAAAAACGCAATAGCTAAGCAACCAAATAAACAAACATTGCAGAAAAGTAAATTGACTGATCTTATTGGTAAAAACGATGATAACCCAAACTAAAATGCAATTGTGGTATCCTAAACAGGTGGTGGACGCGCGCGCAGGTCCCGGCATGAAGTCGATGACGAAATTCAAGAGCAAGAACAAGAAAACCGGCGCCGAGACGATCGAGAAAATCAAAAAGAAGAAGCGCTTCGAGCGCGAATACAGCCCGGCCATGTCGGACAAGAGCGACGAAGATATGGACAATGTGGAGGACTTCCTGACCGAGGACGTACCCAGCGGCCCGTCGAGCTGCACCGGCAGCCCGGGCGGCAGCGATTGCGAGCCGGAGGCGGCGGTCGGCGAGAAGAGCCGCCGCCACAAGGGCCTGGCCAAACGCTTCGACAACAATCGCATCACTGACTACGTCGATTTCGACTACTGGAAAAGGTACGAAACACTGTTCTCCATCTTTTTACATATAGACCAGTGCAGAAGCCTTTAAAAATGGTAAAAAGAGAAAAAAAATAACAGTAGAATGAAACCCATTGAAAAAGGAGGGGAATATAATAAAAATGAAAGGAAAAATAAATTACGGGCGATCTGACTTCGGGAAGTGGAGGGGGGGTTTTAAGGGTAAAAAATGGTTTATCTCGATTTCCGGCAAAACTACAAGTCCTATGGAAAAAAGTTAAATGGCAAAGTTGTAGGTAATAAAAGGATCTACAATTTTTTCACATAACCTCAAAATTTATGTGAAAAATTCAAAAAACCAAGTTTTTGGTTTTTTATTTTTATCTTTTTTCCACGAAATTTGGTGAAAACTTACCTTTTTATGTCCCAAATACACTGTAATTTATTTGATTTGAAATATTTATTATTTCGCCTTATTTTGACTTAATATCAAAAAAGCACCCTAATTTTCAATCGAAAATTCTCGCGTCAAAATATCAGCTTTTTTCAAAAAGTCGGTGTGCTTTTTGTTCGATGAACTCTCTACTTTCTGATGGTGTAAAAAAATATATACATTACTATGGTAAATGTTCTCAGAAAATACAAAAAATATTATAATGAATAACGTAATCAGAATGAAGTATCTAAATTCAATAGTATGATTTTTATGAGATTTTCTGACATAAATGTTATTAGAATTTAATAAATAAACTTTTTAACTAAAAAAAATTGCAACAATCATATTTTTTTGATGAAATTGTACATAATGATTAAAATAAATGTTCGAATTCGAGTTTTTTTCATTATTCATTATAATATTTTTTGCATTTTCTAAGAACATTTACCATAGTAATGTATATTTTTTTTATACCATCAGAAAGTAGATTTCAACGAACAAAAAGCACACCGGCTTTTTGAAAAAAGCTGATATTTTGACGCGAGAATTTTAGATTGAAAATTAGGGTGCTTTTTTGATATTAAGTCAAAATAAGGCGAAATAATAAATATTTCAAATCAAATAAATTACAGTGTATTTGGGACATAAAAAGGTAAGTTTTCACCAAATTTCGTGGAAAAAATTTTTTTTTTTGAAAAAGATAAAAATAAAAAACCAAAAACTTGGTTTTTTTAATTTTTCACATAAATTTTGAGGTTATGTGAAAAAATTGTAATTACAAAAGTTGTAGATCCTTTTATTACCTACAACTTTGCCATTTAACTTTTTTCCATAGGACTTGTAGTTTTGCCGGAAATCGAGATAAACCATTTTTTACCCTTAAAACCCCCCCTCCCACTTCCCGAAGTCAGATCGCCCGTAATTTATTTTTCCTTTCATTTTTATTATATTCTTCTCCTTTTCCAATGGGTTTCAAAAATTATCGACCCTGGTCTAATACTATACTAGGATTTAATACCCATTTCATAATATTATATAAATTAGTACATTTTTGTATCTAATAGTATATTCTGTAACAAGTTTGGAATACGGCATATTTCGCTCGAGTGAAAAGTTTGTCACACGAGCCGAAGGCGAGTTTGACGGTTTCACGAGAGGGGAATATGCAATTCCAAACGTGTTTCAGACTATACGTTTCCAAAAAATACTATAGACAAATAATTTAATTGGAAGAAAGTGAGGTTGGATCGGTCTAAAATTTTATGCTTAACTTTAAATCTGTTCAAAATAACCCATATTGTATATAAGGTGGTACTGATTTGCTTAGTTTGTTTAGCTCTTCTACGAATCGTCGTGGACGTAAAGCAAAGAAAATGTTAATATTCCGAAAAATGTTTTATCTTTATTTTCCCTTTTCAGAGAGACAATCTGCTGCGGAACAATCTACCGCGGCCTAAACAACGAGATTATGCTCGATTCGCGGCTGTTTAAACCGTGCAATAGCCGTTTGGAGAAGTGCAAACGTCAAATGCCTGAGCCGGCGGCACTGGTCGTCGGCAAGCAACAAGCGCAGGCGGCGGCGGCGGAGACGGACGGCATCGCGACGACGACGACGAAGGTTTACAGCGACAGCAGCTCCGATTCCGGCTACGACGAGTCGTCGAACCACGCCGAAAAAGTCAGTATAGAAGAGATCAACAGTCAAATTCCGCAGCCGAATTAATGCACGCTCTCTCTCTCTCTCTCTCTCTCTCCTAGATTGTTTTAATTTATTGATACATATAAAACACGATATTGTTACGTTGCGTTGCGTTGCGGGGTGTATGCCCTTCTGGCGTCCTATTTTTATTTCACTTAATTTTTTCTATTAGGAAATGTTTTTTACGCACAGAATCTACGAGTTGCGGAACTGATTAACTTTGTAGCGCCTGTGGTAGATTTGATATCACATAAGTGCCTACATAAGAGGGATTCTGTGCATTTTGTATTTATTAAAAACTTGGCCAAAAATTTATTGATATTTTGCTAGGCTGTTAGGAGGGCATATTCTTGCCGAGAGTACAAATAATATATTTAAAACATTCGATATTTCAAATGTATACCTTAAAAAGCTGTACATTACTACATTCAAATCAAACTCATACTTTAGTTTTTTTTCATTTATCATACTTGCCATTGAATCTGTTGTTAATTTTTAGTTTTTGCCATTAACTAAAAATGTACTTTTCAAGTGTTATACATAAACATTCTTATCCAATGTAGTAACTGTAGGTTTCAATGTTTTAAGGAGTTGGAATATGGAATAATTAATAATTTTACTTTGCGTTCTAAATTATCGTGAGTAATCTTTAAATTGGGGTCCAAATGATTCAATATTGACACCACTAAAAGAATTTGTCAAAAATAAGACTAAATAATCGTTTTCCATGGCGACTTTTTGAAATGGAGCAGTTTGGAAATAGTCATACACAAAGTATTTTAAATTTAAGTATATGTCAAACTACAATTTGTGGTTAAAAAATCTCTTCCTTTTTAACATTAATTTATTGCATCAATTTTAAATAATTACATCTTTATTGAATAAGGATTGGTTTATGCAAATTTAAACTTCTTTGTGTAATATCGTGATAGTTTTCCAAATATTTCCTAATTGCTTCATTTTGATTGTAGTGTGAATACTTCAAGCAATATAATTTTTAAATCCAGATCATATCATGTGTGTAAGGTGTCTTGACTTACTGCCAAAAATAACCAACTGAACCTATAACTCTAGTGTTCCTCTTTTCAATAACACAAATTAAACTAGGAATTTTATAACTAAAGTATGAAAAGTAAAAAAATTAATAATATATTTTTATTTTCCCATTATTTATTATATTTTTTAATATGGCAGCAATATTTTAAGTGAATAATTATATTTTGTGCATTCTTTGTCCACATATACATTAGGGTGGCCCAATAAACACGACCATGTTTTGTGAGTCTCCTATGAAAATTTGTTTTAAGAGCTTTCTCCAAAAATTAGCTATATTAAAGTTTTTATTTCCAAATGACATTTTATAGGTTAATTTTTTAACCAAGTAAACACCCTATTAAACTTATTTCAGCAAAAATACACCTCTAGATTTGAATTGGTGAGATTAAGAACAGTACAAGTCCAAAAGTTAAACTTTTGACAATATATGTCAAAAAATTAGTTTTATAGTTCTATATGCATTTTTGTGAGAATATTTTTACTATTTTATAAAATATAATAGTCTTACAAAAATGGTTTTTGAACTTTAAAATTGATTTTAGAAAATGACTTGTTAAAATTAAATTTTTTAACTTGTACTGTTCTTATTCTCACTGATTCAATTATAACCTAGAGAATAAACGATGGAAAAGACGAGTTCAAAATTTATCCTTCATGTGCTGTGCATAGCTCCATAAAAAAGTCTGAAAATAGTTGACTTTGACCCAGGAGGGATAAAATGGGGTCCCCGGTATAGAAATATACCGGTATTTCTCGACAATATCGCAAGCTTTGATCTTCAGCGAGGTATTTTGTGATTTGTACAATCGATTTAGTGGATGTTTCAAGATTTGAAATTTCACATGTCCGTGGTTGGATGGCTTCGAGAAGCTTATGGACGTAAAAACTTGTAACTGGGCAGTAAGAGCCTAATTGGCTCAAGTCCAATTCTTTCAAAAGAGAGGATAAAAAGTATAGAAGAAGACTATTTTTGAAATTTTCAAAATTTGTGAGCAAACTCTAAGGTTTTTCTTACCCAGCTGATTTTTAAAGAGAGCTCCTAAAACATGATTAGGTAAAATATTTGCATGGGAGACTCGAAAAAAAAAATGGTCGTTTTTTTGGGCCACCCTAATATACATACTCATATAACAAAGTGCTCTGTGTTGATCTAATTTTTTTATAGAATTTAATGTTGAACGTAGAGCACAATGTTATTATATTACAAATAATTTTATGTTATAGAATATTTTATATTAGATTATAATATATTGTTTAAGACATGCCCAGAGACTGCGAGTCTAGTCGTTTATCATTTTTGGTTAATTGTAATGTTTTGCATTTCATAGCACGAGTTTGACTTCAAATAATCTGAAAAAATGCTTTTTAGTTGTCAAGCGCACATGGCTATTAATAGCTATAATAGTCATCAAAATGATTAATTTTTACCACCAAAAAAGAGTACTGTAGTGAGTCACTACTAGTGACTATAATATATATTTTGCAGTTAAAAAGCATTTGTAAGATTTTTTTGTTGACTGTCCATTCAGTACATAATTAGAATCTCTTTGCTTTTATAAAGAGTTTTGTTGATTTATATTTAATTGATTATTTGACAAATAACTGCCATTGATTGTACATTTATTTTTACCGACTTAAAGATTATATTTATTGTAAAGAAAAAGGATTTGTCCAGTCATTTCAATAATCCAATGTTGGGGCAATTTTTAATTTATTTAAGGGATGTATTTTTAATTGCGTTTGCCAAATAATATCGCATATTTGCACTTATCTATCAAATCCAATATGGATTTACCGAAGTGTTTTTTAAATACATATCTTACAGCAATAGTTTAAAAATTGTTCACTTGATTTTTGCAAATGGTTTGATGTAATTAATATATTTATGGCTTAGTGTCCACTGTAATGGTACTATGCTTCACAACAAAAAGTCCCACTTTGACATTTAAACAAGGAATGCAGTCCAAAAGAGTCTTGGAACTTAAGGTAGCTGTGTTTGAAAGTTGAGAACTTTCTAACACAATCAACAGTTTGTTTATGGCTGTGATCAAGTTTTAAAATTTAATGAGATAACAACTTTGTACCTACAAAATTATAAAAAAAACACTACAAAATTATAAAAAAAACACTCGTTTATTGTCATATGACAATATTGTAGCTAATCTAATCATAAACCCAAATTAGTTTGGGCTACCATACGTGAATTGATATTAATTTTTTGTTCAACTTAGAGGGAGTAATTATGTAATAGTTATTTACCTAACTAACGCGGAAAGTGCTACTTTTCTGCGGAGTTCGGTCATCAGTCGAGTGCGGAAAAGACACGTTCATCTCGTGTGAGGTTCAATATTTTTTCCACAAGCGTGCGGAAAGTAGTAACTTTCCGCACGCTTGTAGAAAGAGTAATTAAAATGAGCTACATAACCTCAATTATTTTGTAGAGTAGTACATTTAATATGCATATAACGGTATTAATTTATCGTCTAATCCAAGAGACATAATATTGCGGAACAAATGACCACATTTGCAATATATCAGAAAAATAAAAGAAACAAGAAAACTCATTTCTTAACAATATGTTTGTATAAGCATATTATGCGTGAACCCAATATTTTGCAAGTTTATATCATTTACTTATATAATTTTTCTGATATATTGTAAAAAGGTAATTTACTTCGCCTTGCATTCCATAACTATTTTAACTTTTGAATGCATTCTCTATTCAAATGCCAAAGTGGGACTTTTTGATGTAGGCTACAATGGCGGGAACCAGACATGCATTAAGTGTTTAGGTATAATTAGGTAATGGATCAGAATTTTCGTTTTTGTGTTACTTTTTGGCATGGACCTCCATTTGGTGATATTTCAGTGGGCGCTGTGCCTAAAGTGGATCTCAGATTTAGTTGTGAAACGCATACATTCATAATTTCACAATTTAATTTAATTTTACAAAGTATTATATATATATATGCTTAAATTTAGATATGATTATGTATAATAGATCTTAGATATAGATATATTTATTTTAACTTTAGATGGTAATTCAATTTGGCTAGCTCCACTTTCTTAGTTTTTGCATACCGTATTTTCACTATTAAAGTATACATACCGAGTGCATCCGAACATTTTAAGTAACTCATCTTTAATAGTAATTAATATAACAATTACGCAATGCGTTTAGCGGACTTCCACAAAACTGAATGCTGCTGTGATAAGTCAGCTGTATACACCAAAAATGAAAATACGTTATGTTTAGTTGCTCTAGGCTTGGCGATAATCTTCCAATTCACAATGTCGCCGACTGATCGAGCATTTCGAGCCAAACTAATTTAATTTGTATTTTAAACTATGGAGTGAGGGTAAAGACTATTTTTGATAAAATAATCGTGAAAGGATGTTTTGTAAAAAATTAGCTAGCCAATTAAAAAGAAAAAGCATGTAGAAAACATTGAAGGGGTAATAATAATAAAGTCTAGTTTAAAAACGGGTTGTAAATAACTGTTACGTTTTTAAGCTAAACCAAGTTTCTTAGAAATATTAGTTAAATTAATTGGAGAATACTAGAAAGCCAAATTGTTACTAAATGCAATAATGACAGCAATTGTTATTAAAAATGACAGATGTTTGTGGTTGTTTATAGGATAATTTAGATTTTATATTGGAAAGCAAGAAACAAAGTTTCTAGACTTAAAGTCATATATTTATCCAAGAAACCTAAAATGTCTGTTGTGTTTGGTTATGTATAAATAATTTAATTTGTCCAAAAATTGTACATTTTTATTGTATTCAGTGTTTTATATGCTATGTGAAGCGTTAATTTATGTACAACGTATTTATCAATAAACTTTTAAATAATTAATTATTTGTTTTACTTCACCGTTTTTTTATTTTAGAGGGGTGTGCCACAAGAGCCCTTTAACAAGGGGTGCATTGTTCATGACTCACCCCAACTTTACGCCACCTATCGTCGTGACGCGTCAAGGAAAAGTATTGATTTTCAAATTTAAATAGGTATGATTCAGCTACAGCTGATATTCAGACCGTAAACATGAGTTAATGAATCCGTATTAAAGTAACTACGCGGAATTACAACTTTTCTTCAGCCAAATATAAATTTTCGGTAATTTATTTAAATACAACCAGAAGTTAAAGGTTTTGCTGTAAAATGTTACCGGAATCTGAAGATTTTAGCATAAATTTTTATGAAGCATTTAAGGTTCTACCGGATAATATAAAGTAAGTAAACAGGCTGTAATTTACTAAATTTACACATGATTTTATTGTAGAAAAGGCTTGGAGTGGAAAAAAGTAAAAAAGAAGATAACAAAAATGAATTTCAAGCAAAAGAAAAACGATTTTCTATACGAAAATCAGTGCCAAAACCCACCTGAGATAGAAATACCTTCAAACCCATCAGCTTTTGCTGTGTTTGCATCTATCCGATTGGCAGTTTTAGATCGCTGGATGAGACAGGCCAGTTCCGAGTACCTACTGAGCAGTTGTAGTTATTCCCTTAATGATCAAAGTGAAATTGACAGTGATACAGAAGATAACACACAGAGCAGCCTTTTTATGGCTTTGAGAATATCAAAAGTAGTTGGTTTGGGTTTACGATCAGTGTTTGAGCTAATAAAGGAGAGCCGGATATCACATCCAGTGCTATGCACAAAGGCTTTATCCGCCCTATTGGATGTTTTACAAGGACAAATACCAGAAGGTTTAAAATCCGAACCTTTGGATATAATTGATTCGTTATTTGAACTTCTTTTGGATCTTACCACACTGCATGGTCCCGAAAGTTCAGTGCCCAACGATGGTACTCACTTGACAGCCATTGCCTGCGCTTGTCTTTTATCTTTGGTGGTGGTCAGGGGTGATACCGGAAAATGTTTATCTGCAGCTGCAGCTTTGCTTATGTGTCCCAGGGCACTTGCAATACAGAATATTCAGGTATAATAGTAAAATTGTGCTTGAATTGATGAGTTACTATATTGTTTATTAAATGTTATTATTTGGAATGAATGAATGTTTTTTGTGGTAATTTTTTGTTTAATTTTATATATTTTTTTATAATTAAATATAGCACCTTTTTATTATTTGTTTTATTATTTATCCCATTTTTGTTTGCATGTAGAGTTTTTTAAATTTAGCTAAATTAACTAGTTAATTACCCAAAAAAGACTACATAATTTCATGGAGGACATGGAATTTCAAACGTCATAATTTGGTTGTTATAAATCTGTAAACAGCAAACTTTGCTTTCGCTGTCAAAATTCCGGAACCAACCGTACTTCCGGGATTTCTTGCCTTATTGCTGCCTTTAGATTTTCCAAATTTTGTGGACGATGTTTAAAAACTTGTGATTTTAGATACCGTCACAAAAAAAAATCGCAAGGGGTCAAATCAGGCGAACGCGGAGGCCACCCAATATCACCTCCTAAAGAGACAATTTTGCCCGGACATTTTATTGAAAAAAACCCTCACGTAATTAATGAACCTTTAAAAAATAATAAATTGAGACAGCTACAATAGAACTAGATTTATAAATAAGAACTTAAAATAACAAAAATTAATGGATTTTTTTTAATTAAATGTGAAAATATTACAAACAAGCATCTTTCATCGCGGTACCCAGATAGCATCTGTGATTTTGTTTTCCCTCTGTGATTTCACACTGAAGTCAGTATAAGGTCAGATGTGATTTTCAGTCATTCAAAATCATGTATGATTTAATACTGAAGTCGGTATGAGATCACGCATGATTTTCAATATAAATTCTAAGTTCCAAATCCTGCCTGATTTCATACTGGGGTGAGTATGAGATCAGGCATGATTTTCAGTTAAGGGTACCTATTCCATAAGTTCCAAGCTTACAAGCTAATTTTATTTAAGCTTATAAGCTATAGCTTATATATAGTTCTCGTTTAAATGTAATGTAATATAATGTAATGTAATGTAATGTAATCTATATAGGGTATAGTTGTTTATTTGTGCTTGTCCCATTGTGTATCGTCGAGGGGACTTTAGGCCAGCGGTCCGTTAATACCCCTTACCCGCACAAGCTATAGCTTGTGCGGGTAAGGAGTAGGAACGGACTTCCGGCTTAAAGTCCCCTACGAAGGACTATACACAATGGGACAAATACAAATAAACAACCATGGTTATGGGTATGCATACCCACGTGAGTTTCGATCGGGCGCGAATATTAGTTCAAAATCATGTTTGTTCTCATACTGGGGTCTGTATGAGATCACGTATGATTTTCAGTATAATTAATTCTAAGTTTCAAAGCACGCCTGATTTCATACTGGAGTCTGTATGAGATCACATATGATTTTCAGTATAATTTTAAGTTCTAACTCAACCATATGGAGGAATGGCGCCAGGTAAATTGCGCCAGATTTAAGAAATCTTTTTTTTTGTAAATACCTAAATTTTTAATCAAAAAATTTTGGTATTTTATTTTAATTTTTTTATAGCAATTTAAGATTTCCTCCTTCACTGGAATTTCGATGATTTGATGATTTTATTCTGACAACAGTATGATTTCAAAGCCAACGTCAGCGGGACCAAAAATCTCGACTGATTTTACTTATTCTTTAAAGTTTTCTTTCTGCCGGTTTCTACCGGTCTCTTTACAAAATCACATCTGATTTCATTCTGACATCAGTATGATTTCAAAGCCAACGTCAGCAGTAACAAAAATCACATCTGATTTCAGTCTGATTTTCACGTCTGATTTTATTCTGACGTCAATATGAAATCATAAATGCTAGCTGGGTATTTGCATTGCTGTTTTATGTTCATTTATTGTACGTGTCACTTTGAAACTATAGTTTTTTTTATTGCGAAAAATGTCTCCTTGGGTACATGTTTTTTTTGTCACACTGCACTGTAAAAATAAGATACTCTTTAAGCGAAACTTTACAGCTGAGAGTAACATATGTTAATGTTAATATTAGAAATAATAGTCGCAATGGATATAAAAATTTGAAATATTTATTTTTTAGAGGTAGACGGGGCTAAAAAGTATACCTTATACAGGGACGTAGCTACCGCGGTATCAGCCGTATCAATGATACGGGGCCCAGGCTAGGGGGGGGCCCGATTAGGTTCGACATGCGTAAGCAAAAAACATATTACACACATGTTAAAAAAATGAGGCATGGAATTAAATAAATAAATAATATTATTATTTAATTGTTGTGAACCCTCCTGTTCCAATGAATGCTTAAATGTTTTAGTTATTTATTTCTCTCTAATCACCCGACTGTAGAAAAAACGTAATTACATAAAATTATACTGATAAAGAATTGAAAATCATCATTTATAAAAAGTTTGGTACGAAAATCCTGAAAAATTTCATAAAATGTCAATGTAAATTTACGTTACGTTAACGTTACGTTAACGCTTTATATTTCAACAAAATTTAATATCAATCTTAGCGATTCAACTGATAAGACATTTAAAAAAAAAATTTCCTATAAGTTTTTTCCAGTCACTTTTGCAATATCTTCAAAAATATGAGAATTTTTCACTAAAATCAGATTTATAAATGGTACGGGTCAATATATTGACCCGTACCATCCTACAGGTGCAGATTACAGCTATGGCACATAAAGCATTTTTGTAGAACTTTTGATTACGAGTAGGTAAATCCCTTTTTTGGACAATCCAATAGCATAAAATCGGCTGAGATATAGATATTTAAAAAAAATCAAAGTTTACGTGCATTTTAGATGGGAAATCTTTATACGCTTTGGGAGAGTTCTTAAGGGCTCAAATTTTCAGGGAATTTTTTTTAAAACATTTTTAACAAGATTTTGAGTGGGGAGCGAAAAAATAAAAATAGTCGTAAAAAAAGCGCCCTAATGTATACATATATTATTTATTAAATTATAAAAAATTGGTAAATGCAAAAAAATGATACCCTAAAAATTTTTTTTTGTTTGCCCAAAATAGACTGTGGGCGTGACTTTTTTTGCTAGCAGCTTTTCTCGTATAAGGGCCCCTACCAGATTTTTGATACGGGGCCCCTGACCTTATACCCAAGTAAACAAAAGCAACTTGGAAAATAACGAATACCTTAAATTAGGGTCCCTAATACATACATACATAATTGAATAGGTCAATGCAGAAACTGAATATGTCCACTTTTTAGGGATATTGAGTTAAACATGGATTTACTATAAGTAAAGGGTGCCCGATTGAATGGCGTAGAAATTTCACATGTCACGGTAATCTAGATTATACAAAGGCGTTAATATAGTAGAGAAACTGAATATGTCCAGAACATGTCCACTTTCTGTTCAGTTTTTCTTATTTATCTCAAAACTAGATAGGTAGGACATATTCAGTTTCTGCATTGACATATTCAATTATATCATTACTAGCAGGTCCGGCTTGGGGTACGGTCAATCCGGGCAAACACGTGTTTGGGGTATACCCGGGGCGGCATCAATGTGGGCGGCATTTTATAAGTTTTTACTTAATAATAATAATCCCCTTCTATTTTCAAGCTGAACAAATAATATTTGTTAAATTAATTTTTTATTTAAACCTGAAATTTAATCAAGAAATGATAATAATTATTCATTAAATCATGAAATATATGAAGGTGTAAGAAGCAAAAGGGTATTTTTGGCTTGAAAATAAGTGCAGAATTGGGTAGTCCAATTTTTTTTTTTATTTTTTCATAACGTAAAAATTGTACGAGTTCTGCTTGTTGATTAATGCAAACAACAATATTGAAACAAGTATCCAGATTTTTGAATATAGCAAAAACTTTAAATGTTAATAACTTCACTTCTCTTTTTTGCACTTGTACGCTTTTTTCTTGGGTAGGTATCATCTGAATTACACAGTGCAACAGTTTTTGGGTCATGGCTTCCAGTCCAAATATTTTCAAAGCCAAATGAAAGAAGACCAACAGACTGAGAAGACCCTCGCAGGGTTTCGTGATTAATATCAGCTAATGCTCGCATTTTTTTCTATGGCCTCTTAGAAGTTCGCATTCTTTGTGGCCAATTTTTCGACTGTTTGCGACTTGACAGTCAATTAATTTAATTGAATTAAATAAAAAATTCATAACTTAAACAAGTTTGATTTATTAATTAATTAATTTAATTGACTTACAAGTCGTAAGCCGTCAAAAAATTGACAGCAAAAATGCGAACTTAAAAAAAAACGTGAGCTAATATCACCAAACCCTGGAAAGGTTTTCTTAGTCTCTTGGCCCACTGTCATTTCGCGTTGTGCTGGAATTTCTTTTTTCACAGTGCACTGTGTTATTTTTTAACACTTTAAAAACAATTTTGATGAAACAAAATTCTGATGTTGTTTACCCTCCTAAATGATTTTTATTTAAATTATCATTTTTATTTTTTACGTAATTAAAACTTAGTAATAGACATGTAGACCAGGGTCGATAATTTTTGAAACCAAAAAAAATTACAGTAGGATGAAACCCATTGGAAAAGGAGAAGAATACAATAAAAATGAAAGGAAAAATAAATTACGGGCGGTCTGACTTCGGGAAGTGGGAGGGGGGGGTTTAAGGGTAAAAAATGGTTTATCTCGATTTCCGGAAAAATTACGTCCTATGGAAAAAAGTTAAATGGCAAAGTTGTAGGTAATAAAAGGATCTACAACTATTGTAATTACAATTTTTTTACATAACCTCAAAATTTATGTGAAAAATTCAAAAAACCAAGTTTTTGGTTTATTATTTTTATCTTTTTCAAAAAAAAAAATTTTTTTTACGATATTTGGTGAAAACTTACCTTTTTATGTCCCAAATACACTGTAATTTATTTGATTTGAAATATTTATTATTTCGCCTTATTTTGACTTAATATCAAAAAGCACCCTAATTTTCAATCGAAAATTCTCGCGTCAAAATATCAGCTTTTTTCAAAAAGTCGGTGTGCTTTTTGTTCGTTGAAATCTCTACTTTCTGATGGTGTAAAAAAATATACATTACTATGGTAAATGTTCTCAGAAAATGCAAAAAATATTATAATGAATAACGAAAAAAACTCGAATTCGAAAATTTATTTTAATCATTATGTACAATTTCATTAAAAAAATGTGATTGTTGTAATTTTTTTTAGTTAAAAAGTTTATTTATTAAATTCTAATAATATTTATGTCAGAAAATCTCATAAAATATAAAAATACATGTTAATCATACTATTGAATTTAGATACTTCATTCTGATTCATTATAATATTTTTTGTATTTTCTGAGAACATTTACCATAGTAGTGTATATTTTTTTTACACCATCAGAAAGTAGAGAGTTCATCGAACAAAAAGCACACCGACTTTTTGAAAAAAGCTGATATTTTGACGCGAGAATTTTCGATTGAAAATTAGGGTGCTTTTTTGATATTAAGTCAAAATAAGGCGAAATAATAAATATTTCAAATCAAATAAATTACAGTGTATTTGGGACATAAAAAGGTAAGTTTTCACCAAATTTCGTGGAAAAATTTTTTTTTTTTGAAAAAGATAAAAATAAAAAACCAAAAACTAGGTTTTTTGAATTTTTCACATAAATTTTGAGGTTATGTGAAAAAATTGTAAATACAAAAGTTGTAGATCTTTTTATTACCTACAACTTTGACATTTAACTTTTTTCCATAGGACTTGTAGTTTTGCCGGAAATCGAGATAAACCATTGTTTACCCTTAAAACCCCCCCTCCCACTTCCCGAACTCAGATCGCCCGTAATTTATTTTTCCTTTAATTTTTATTATATTCCCCTCCTTCTCCAATGGGTTTCATCCTACTGTTATTTTTTTTCTCTTTTTACCATTTTTAAAGGCTTCTGCACTGGTCTAATGTCACAATACACAATTCAATTTTTTTAGTAAATTTTACAGTTTACAGTAAGTTTTTACGTTTTTTTTTCGGCAAAAAAACGTAAAAAACGGAGGTCAAAGTTAAGATATAAAAAATAAATAAAATATAAAAAACATTAACCATTTAGGCAGGGTTAAACGACATAAATACAAAAATATTTTTATCAAAATTCTTTTTAGAATGTAAACAAGTAATTCAGTAAAAAAGCCGCTTATAAATTTAAAAATAAAAAGATATATCTTTTATTATAATGACTTGATTTTGATTTATTTCAAATTTTGACCTCCGATATCATTTAAATAATATCTCGTTAGATATCTAAAATGGCTTTAAGAAGAATAAATACTTTACTTTTTTTGTAGAAAGGCTTTTATACAGGGTCAGTCAAAACGTAAAAAATAAAAAAAAAACGTAGCGAGCTATGACAAACACCCGGTATAAGGTATTGCTCTCAAACTTTGCATAAAATAGGTATTTGAGGCACGTGTAAATTGAATGCGTTATTCATTTGTTTGAAAATGGTCGTTCTCTAAATTTCGACTCATTTAGAATATCTTACAAGGCCTTAAAAAAATAAACAAATTTCACATGGTCAAATATTATAATAGCTATAGCTATATAGCTCTATAGCTCTATGTTAAAAAAAATAAAGAAAATATTTAAACTAGCTAAAAACTTTTAATATTTAAAATACTCTGTAAAATTGTTAAATATGAGATAGGTACGCCCAGTTCTTTAAGTAGGTACTCGTCTATTTTAAGTTAAAATAAATGAGGAGCATCCGTGCAAAACCGGATAAATCCATTTTATTCAGTTTTTGGTTTTTTTTAATTTCGCATCTTTGTGTTTATTTCTATTGATAACCAAGATAATTCTGTTTAAATCCGACTATATCCATGTTATAATCACATTTAAAAGGTAGCTTTAGAAGCAAAACCGGCCAAATCTACGTTTTTATAGCAAACCCGGCTATATCCAATAAATAATAATATGTGGCTTGGATATGTCGATACTACTACTAAAATTTGTTCTGTTCTTTCATGTTTGCACTAAATTTATTTTGTTAATATTTTTGAATAATAAAGGTTTTTTTTACATTTTATTACTTTTTTATTCGGTTTTCGAGCAAAACATTTTTTGAAATTTTGGCCTTAATATAAAGTTTTTGAAAACGTAAGTATGTCTAATAAATCAAGTACCACAAAGCCCACAAAACTCAAGTTTGCTTTTTCTTTTATTTGTAAAGGCCAGGAAACCGAGAGTTTTTGCCATTTTCCCAACATTTTATTAAAGTGGATATAGCCGGTTTTGCACGGATGCTCCTCAAATATTGTTGTAATTATTGCTCAGCACCAATTTTCATATGGATAATTTTAGATGCCCACCGTGCTATCAGCTCTCCAAAGAAGCGTCCACGGTGTGCTCTTGGGCAAAACCCAACGTCCAGACTGGATAACACACGGTATACCTGTAAACACTAAGTTGGATTCTTTTCAAGTCCGCTTACCACAAGAACTTCAAACTTACAGCTTAGTTCTAAATTCTTTAGCTTGCGATGGACAATATTTGTATTTATTTACTTCCAAGGGGTTGTTTAAAATAGGTAGCGGTTATGGAAGTACCTTAAAAGGCCATATTTATGTTTGGAAGCCTGATTTTTATCCCAATGATAACGGTACACTTGTTTTTTGCTCGGTAAGTTTAAATCTTATTTAGGAATTTTATTTTTTATTTTGTAATTTTTATAGGGCAACCTTTATCTTAAACTTTGTGGCCGAAGAGGGGGTGAATTTTTAATTGTTGAAAGAAATAATCTGCTTATATCTGGATCAGTTCCTCTGCATAGCAGGGATGCTACAGCTTCTGTAGTTTTCTCAGATGGGGAATATTTGGGCACCATATCTCCTGCAAAAGACGTAAAATACCATTTTTAAATAAATAATTATAAATTTTAATAAAAAGCTTTGTAGGATGGTTTTGTGGTCCGCCTTTTAAATCAAAATACAGTACCAGCTTCAGTAGTAAGCGAGTTACCTTTAAAGTTAGCTAGAAAATGCGTTGACGTTTTTGGAGCAGCCTCATATGAAGAAGAAGCTGGTGCGTACACTCTTAATATAGGTAGTGAAGAAGAGGTAGCCATGATTTGTGCTGGTAAAGAGTTTGGATTGGTCAAAACAGTAAACGGAAAAGTATGCTATAAATCACTGGCTGTTTCTTAAACTAATACATTTTATTTTAGGTATTATATTGCGGGAAAGCATCCGCCATAGGAATCAAACAAGTAGGCATACGTAATGGTAAATGGAATGATTTACTGATAACCAAAACACCCAAAATAAATCACATTGCCATGGGGCACGACGGCCTCCACGCTGTCTTGATTACTGAAGATGGGTCTGTATTTTTCACCGGTACTGCTAAAAGAGGTGAGGATGGAGATCAAAGCAAAGTGCGAAGACAACCCAAACCAATAAAACCCAAAAAAATTATTAAAGTGGAAGGGCAATTTATCGTATCTGCTGCTTGTAATAATGGAACAACCGCTCTCATTAACAAAGAGGGTAAACTGTTAATGTTTGGTAAAGATACGGCTCACGCTGATCCAAATACTGGTTTTATTAATTCCTTAAAGGATGAATTTATAAGTCAAGTGGCACTTGGCAAGGCACATGCCTTGGCTTTAACGAGTAAAGGACACATTTTTTCTTTCGGTATAAATAACAAATACCAATGCGGGAGAGACTTTGTAAACTCGAATAAAGAAGGTAGTACTACTAACGTTATAGCGATGGAGACCTGTGGAATACAGGAGGAAAATGAGATTTACGAGGAACCGGAAGAAAACGATAAAGGGAATAATCTGGTTGAGCCGGATGAAAATGTTTTAGAGCAACAGAAAAATATGTGCCCCTCTGGAATGCACTTGTGGCACGATGATATGTGTATGATTTGCACTGTTTGTAGGGAATGCACGGGATATTCAATAAGTTGTTTATCATCGATCAGTTCCGATAGAAATCCTGGAGAGTAAGTACTAATAAATAAGATACTATTTTAAAATATAATTTAAATTTTAAAGGGAATGTGGCTGTGGTGAGGGCGATAGTGGTTGCTCTATCTGCGGGTGCTGCCGTATTTGCGCAAGAGAAGTAGTTGATAACTCAGAATTAGCAGATCTGGCTGGAATGATGAGATTAGACTTGATATTCAGAGATAAAATGCTTATACCGCCGAGGCAGAGGACTAAACTTCAAGAACAAGTAAATTCAAATATTTTTTTAAATTTCGATAGGTATGATTTATTTTTTAGTTGCAGACTCGTTTGGAAGAACGGAAAAATAGAAGCCGCAAATCACCAGCCAGTTCAAGTAAGCCATCAGTTAAAAAAGGATGCTCAAAAGTTCCAACATCACCTTCATCTACTCATAGATCAAATAACTCGGTTAAAAAATCCAATATGCTTGGAGTGGGTACGTCATTTAAAAAATAAATTTTTTCACTTATTCCCTATTTTCAATAAGAAAATAATATATTGATTAATGTATTACTTCATTTTTATGTTTTTAGTTAAAGAACAATCCAGTTCAGATGTGGAAAGAGATACCACAAGGGTTGCTTCGTTATCCCCTGCCAAAGTCCCATTACCATCAGACATTCCAGTAATTCAAATAGCATGTGGACTTCACCATAGTGTTTTACTTTTGCAAAATGGACAGGTAAGTCTTGGTGTCCAAAATAACCACTAAACGATTACTACTAAAACTTATTCCCATAGGTTTACACTTTTGGATCGAACATATACGGTCAGCTGGGTTGTGGTGATATTTTGGCTAAAAGTGGATTACAACAAGTAAAATTACCAGCACCTACAGTGCAAATAGCTGCTGGTAGCAATCATACAGTTATTTTGACTTCTAAGGGTGAAGTTTACACTTTTGGCAACTATCAGAAAGGACAATTGTGCAGAAACTCGTCGCAATTCTCTCAGGATGCTTCCCAACCTGGTCAAAGTAGCAGTTCTAGGTATATAAATCCTAGGACGCCTTGGTATAGCGTACCGGCTTCTATTCCAAATATAGGTATTGTATTCTTTTTAAATTTTTCATAAATATAAAGAAATAATTATTTTTAGGGGCTGTATATGGAAGAAGAGCTACTTGGGTTGGTGCTTCAGGTGACCAAACTTTTCTTAAAATTGATGAAAGTCTCATTAACTCTGTTAGTATTGCAAAATCTACAGTAACAGCCAACAAACATTCAATTGGTATGTTGAACTGTTATACCTTTTTATTTTTAGTGTAAATTAATTGTTTTTTTTTTAGTTTTTACACCAACTCAGGAAGAAAATGCACGTAATTTTAAATGCCTAGTCATCAATAAAAAAGATGGTAATTGTAACTTCTTCAAAGGCAAAGATCAAATGGATTTTTTTAACAGCATTGTGTGTATGGATCCTATTTACAATGTAATATGGGCCTACAACTCGGAAACTCACGAATTATCTGTTTTCAACATAATATTCTCCGAATTGCAAGTCAAGAATGTCGTAAAAACATCCAACAACAAATATTTGACCAACATAAAAAATGTTTCAAACTGCATGCCAGAAACTGAAAACAAAGTCAACATTACAGCTGTTTTGTCTCCAGAGTTGGCTTTGCCAGTCTTAAATAATTGTTATATAACCAGATTTCAAGCTGCGATTAATCTTTTGTGTTGTTTGGACACTTTAACAACAGCACATGAATTGAAAATAACTGCGGTACCTGAAGATGTTAGTGATATGCAATTGGTGACAGGAAAACAGTATTCAAAGGAGGATTTCCAAAGCGTTAATCGATTTGAGTCGCATGGTGGAGGATGGGGGTACTCTGGACACAGCATCGAAGCTATAAGGTACAAAAATATGTTTTTTGCCATTTGGTTTACCTTTTATTCCTTCTATTCCTAGATTTATGGCAGATACAGACATTCTTCTGGGTGGTTTTGGTTTGTTTGGAGGTCGTGGTGAATATACCGCTAAGATTAAACTAATGGATATAGGACCAGATGGTGGTGAACAAGAAGGTGATGGAGATTTGTTGGCTGAAACCGAAGAAGTGCCCTATGAATGTGGACCTAGGCAAAAGTATCCCATGCTTTTTGATGAACCACTACAACTACAAGTAAGCTTCTTAAAACACATGCTTAATTAAAGAAGTGTTTTGATTTTGTAATAATCATAATAATATTATTTCTTTAGGCCCATCGTTGGTACGTTGCTTGGTGCCGTATTAGCGGTCCCAGCAGCGACTGTGGATCTTCAGGCCAAACTATGGTTACTACTGAAGATCAGGTGCTCTTCTACTTTAAATCGTCCAAAAAGTCAAATAACGGAACCGATGTTAATGCAGGGCAAATTCCCCAGCTTCTTTATAAAATCATAACACCAGAGAATAAATCATTACCAAGGCAAATGGATATTTTGGAGCCGGTTCATATGCTTACCAAAGATTTTTCTCGTACTGTTACGAAAGAATGTTTCCAGAGTTTGCTATCTTTACTGCAGTGGTCTTGGAATACTTTTAAGTGGGGTGTTGTTGAAGGACAATCCAGTAAGAATATGTATACTACATTAGAACTAGAAAAATTAGTTTATATAAGCAAAGCAAGTTTAAGATTAATTCGTACCTATATCAATGAAATCTACCCAAATCAGGTCAACAAAAGATTGCCTCTAGAAAACGTTCATTTGGCTGAAAGTATTGGAGACGTAAGGCAACTTTTAAAACAAATTTTGTCCGATAACATACCAAGCAACCTTCAAAACAAAAAATCTAGTAAAAGCAAAAATTTCGCGTACACAATGATGAATAGTTTACTGGACGAATGCCATGGTACCTTTGTAGCCTGCTATCACGCTTTTTATCCAACCTCTTATTTAAAATGGATAAGTCTATGCGATCTTCTGGATGATTCAGATAAGGATCAAAGAATTAACAATCAAAGGCTTTTGAGTGCTGTTCTGTGCGCTCTCTGTGGTCCAAGTGTAAGATTGAGAAGCACTTTCCCTTTACTTGGTCACAACGTCAGTTCCGATGGTTCATTCCACCGCGGTTTAAGTCCTTCAGATAACACAGGTCTACCAATGATGAGTGTGTCGGATTCCCATCACTATCCGATTTTAGTTGAGCAAATGAGCTACAAAAGCCAGATGGAATCTAGTGGAAATACAACAAACTGGCAGTGGAAAGAAATCCTCAATCACTTAATCAAAATAATATCTGAACCGGTGATCAAAAGATTACACAAAAACAAAAATTTACCACTACACAGCTTGACTAAGCACTGTTGTCATTTGCTCGCGAGAGTTGTGGCTGAATTGGTGCACCAATGCAGCGTTGCTGAGGATGACGTTCAAGGAGCTTGCGGCAGGACTTTGCACATGACTCCTTCGAGATTTACGAGAACGAACCAATCACGAACGTGGAATACCGGAAACGGATCACCGGATGCTGTTTGTTTCCAAGTTGATCATCCTGGAGTTACAATCGTTGGTGTTGGGATTTATGGGGGAATTGGGCATTATGAGTACGAAGTAGAATTGTTGGAAGATGTAAGTTTTGTTTAGGTTTTGTTTACGCTTTTTTTTAAATTTGTTTATTATTTTAGCAAAGTTCCGTAAGCAACTCTGAAAGTCATGCTCATACACATCGTTGGAGTACATTGGAATCTGTTAGAGGGTCATTTGGACCTGAAGATTTTGCCCCGGAAGTTATTGAAATTAAGTTTGAGCGATCTATCCCCATCAAAGAACATGTAAAATACGCATTAAGACTACGTAATCATGGAGGAAGAACCAACAATGGTGATGGCGGACTTAATTTTGTCAAAGGTTCAGATAATACTACTTTTACATTTTCCACTTGTCCCTTAAGTTTTAATGGAACAACATTGACAAGGGGACAATTACCTATTGTATTGTATTATAGGTAAGTCAATTCATTATTTAAAATAAATTTATTTTTTAAAACTATTTATTCTTAGTAAACCAATTGAGTGCGGAAGACCATCAACAACAAAACTGGAATACCAAGCAAGGAAATCTGCACTATCAATTGCTAGTATTATAATTCAAAATACTTGCAAGTTAATGGTTTTGGCACGCGAAAAAGCCGAAGAAATACCTTCTGCAGACATACTAAGCAACTCCTGCATTGTATCCACTCTTTTACCTTTGGTGTTGGCATACTTAAGCCCACTGGCTTCTAGCGATTCGAGAGTAAGAATTACACTTGAATATGAGAATATCTTTAATACTGTTAAATTTTAGAGTTCCGTTTATATTTTAAATTTGATTCAAGAATTATTGCCCCATGTTGCCGCTTTGAATTTGGTGAATCATAACACGAAATCGTCCATATCTTCTAGTATTTTAACCTATCAAGACTTAGAATTTAAGACTAATACAACCAGTAACCATTATACTTGGGTACAAAGTGACCATCCTTATAAACCTGCAACAGTATACAACTTTAGGTAAATATGCTTATAAGCATAAGCTTATATTTTTAATTTCTTTTTTTAGAGTTAAGCTTCAGGATAGTGTAAAATGGATGTCGATAGAATTTGACCAACTGTGTGCCACTGTCCAACCAGAAGATTCTTTACAACTGTACGTCCCATCGTTAGAACACGTGATTAGTAAGCAAGATCTTTCCAAAATTGCAGAAATTTATGATGAAGACACTTCTCCCTTACCCTACTGGCCGGTTTTGCGTAAATTCAGCAGCAAGTAAGTTCAGAATTTAGCTTTAAAAACATAAAATTGATGCATTAATTAATTAGCATTCTCTGGCCGACAAAATCTGTAATATTGCCAGGCAACGAGGTCATTTTCTCATTGGAAACGGCATCAGATTACCTTAAAGACGACAGGGCGAGTTCGTATGGCTTTAAATGTTTGGTGGTGGGTTATGAATGGCCTATGGATGTCAAACAAGGTTCCATGCACGGATTAAAACATTTGGAGGCTGAACTCTCTTTTCTTGGTGGAATGTGTGCTGCCAGTTTGATGAAAAAGGATTTAATACTACCTTTATCTGGAGGTATGATGGATCTGTTGATGATACTGATTACTTTTTTAATAGATATTTTCATAGATGAAGGTGATATTGACATCGAAATGGCAGAAGCAGTAACAGCTTTGACGTTTAAAAAGCATTCTTCTCTTTTATCAAAAGGACTTTCTTTAAATAGCGCTCCCACTATTACTCAGGCGTTAGATGGACTTCTGCCTTACAGGTGAGTACAAATTGAATTATTGTTTTTATTGCTATATTATTTTACTTCTGTTCAATTTTATGGTTAAAGGTTTTCACATATTTATGGGATTACCTGTAGGTATATATATTAGGTAAAATACTTGTTTATACATTATAACCTATATGTTCTTAATTTAAATTTAACTATACGTAAAGAATAGGTATAACATTTATATATTTAGACTATATTTTTTGACGTGCTAATTCGAATTCAACCTTAGAATTGCTCCATCATATCTAAACCAAAAGTGTACAATGAAAACAAATGTTATTCAATTTTTATTTTTTTCGAGTTACAAGGTTTTGAAAAAAAATCCTATACAATAATTCACACAATATGGTGACAGATGAATTGTCAAAACCATTCAAAAACAATAAAAAATCCAAAAACAATATTAAGATTTTTTCATTTATTTTATTCAAAGAATACAGCCTTAAAATTGTTCACTGAAATTTAAATTGGATGTCACTTCAACTGCTATCTGTCAACTTGACACCTGTCAAAGTGTTGCTCAATGCTATAAGAAAATAATAATTAGAATATTGTGTAACTTATAGTAGGTACTTACCTATAGGAAATTTTTTCTAAACCTATAAAAAGTCGGATAACAACATTTAAGTTTTCTTCATTGTTTTTATGCGTAGAATACATCCTTGAAATTTTTTATATTTCTCCCGAATCACCCTGTATACAGGTCTTCTTAGATTTTAATCGGGAAAATTTAGTAGTCGATAGAACTCGCAAAAATAATAAGAAAAGTTAAAGATAATAACAAAAAGTATGGTCACGCCACTGCTTTTTTATGAGTTTAATCTAAGAGTTTAATGCATATTATAATTGGATTAAGTAAATAAAAATACAACTTTTTGTTTCTCGAATTTTCAGGAAAAAATTAAATTTGTTTATTCGCTTGTAACCAACATTTTTTCAGCGGTAACCGAATAAACGAAATTTTATTTTTTTAAAATACAAGACAAAAAAGTTGGGAAATTTAATTGATAGTTGACATAGGTCAAATTTTTAACAAATAAAATTAGGTTTAATAGTATATTCTGTAACAATTTTGGAATACGACATATTCCGCTCGAGTGAAAAGTTTGTCACACCAGTCTAAGGCTAGTTTGACGGTTTCACGAGATCGGAATATGCAATTCCAAACGTGTTTCAGACTATACTTTTTCTACGTTTCCAAAAAATACCATAGAAAAGTTATTTAATTGGGAGAAAGTGAGGTTGAATTGTTCTAAATTTGTTAAATATTAAACACAGAGATGTCGCCACCAGTGCTAATTCCGTCATCCGATGAAAGAATAATTTATTCTGTAATACTTTCAGGAATATATGTCATTCCACATTAAAAAGTGATATTAGAACGGACATATTCTGTAATAGGAGTAGAAAAACTATAAATTTCTCTAGACACTAGTTTTTATTAAACACTCGCTCGTGCTTAATTAAACTCGTAACTTAAATGGCGTTTATAAAACTTTATACATAATATACTATAAACATATACCTATATTTCCTAGAAAATTTAAGCTATAACAAACACAAATGTTTAAATTTATATGTATTTATTACTTTACAAATTCTTATTATCGTATTATAATGAATAAATTATTACTAAACTAAATCTATATGTAACTTTAAAGCAAGTAACAATATATATCACAGTATTAACAAAATACAACAAAAAATTTAAATTAGAGTATATTCTACATTGTAGAAAACTTATTTAAAAATTAGGTCAAGTAAAATTTGGTATTTTTGGTAGAAACTTATAAATCAGTTGTCAACAGTTCGGTCTTTTCGACAATAACGTGAAGTTCAGTCTCTCTATAAGTCCTTCCATCAGGAACTATCAAGCTCAGTTGGCCGTTCTTTATTTGTTTTTGGTTCCCATATTTACCTCTTCTAAGATATCTTCTTAAAAATATCGATAGGGCGGCTATGATTATGATCAACAAGGTACCAACTACGCTTAAAACGATTATAAGCGTAGTGCTGCTTGTCGATAGGGAACACAATTTAGACTTAAAATCTGAGACGGTGATATATTGGTTGTTATAAAGGCACTTTATGTTGGAAAAATGTTCGGTGTTTTTTATTTGATGATCAATGTTTAGGCAGTCGCAGGTGTGGTTTAGGCATAAGTCGATTATTTCTACTTTCGATTCGGGAAATGTAAGACTATCCCGGGTGATAATGGTAAAGGTGTTTGTATTAAGGGTTATGAACATATTGGAATCAGTTTTCTTCGTTATCCCTCGAAAAGCGCCATCCTGAACAGTGTGGAAATTGTTGTTTGCAAAAGTTACTCTATCAACTCCTTGTACTTTGAATCCCTCGCCATCCAGTTCAAATATGTTTGTGTTTGTAACGTCCATATATAGAGGATTTTGTATGATGAAAGCTGAACTTCGTACAGAACCAAAATTACAACTCTGTATGGTGAATAACTGATTTACTGTGATATCAGAAAACATCCTGCTTGGAATTTCTCTTGCTGTCACATTCCTTAATTGTAAATTTTCAGTCGTGAATTTTTTAAAAGCCTGCTGCATAATACTATAAAAAACACAATTTTTGAACACCACACTTTGAGTCTGTTGGAGGTTTGCGAAGGCATATTGAGAGGTGGACAAAATGGTCACACGATCAAAGTAAAGTTCGCCAATGTTTCCTTTAAAACTCTGAATGCCAATATTAGATATAACACTGTCAAGCACGTATATTTTTAAGTTTGGTATGATTTGGTCCATTTGTTCGGAAAAGACGCTTCTATACGCCACCCAGTTGAGGCTGTCTTCTTCTAGGTCTATTTGAGCAATGTTGTTTAGAGTCAGGTTTCGAAGATTTCTCATGTGAGAGATTGAGTTCCCTTTGAAGGTGATTTTGTTGCAGTTTTTGATTTCTATGGAGGCCGCGTCGAAACTCGGGATGTTTTTATTAATCACGAATTCCTTAAACAATAAAACAAAATTTAGCTTAGGTTATATCAGGTACTAAATTTCAACATAAAATTAAAAGAGCTTGATTAGAAAGTTCAACGCATCCACCGTATAGCCCGAACCTTGCACCATCAGATCATTGGTTTCGGTATCTGGTTTGTTTTTAAAAGAAGCCTTTAAAATCACAGAAGTTCCCTATTGTAAATGGCCGATAGAATCCAATATAAAATAAGTAATTGGTTTGAAATGTGTTTTGGCGCTATTCAGGCCCGTTCCTGGGGTGTCTGGCGCCTGCGTGCAGCATTCGTTGGTGCGCCCTTTTTATATTTAAATATAATATATTAAATATTTGAATTTTAGGCCGTAAAATTTAAAAAATAAATAATTTGCGACAAACTGGCAAAATGATATTGAAAATGTAAAAAAACGCTTAAATTAAGTATAAAAAATATTTATTAAATTACCAAACAAACAAGTAATATCATAAGGGCATCTATTTTTTCCGAAATAAATCGCTAAGTAATATTTTAACAAGAAGCACGAGTGCAACAAAAATCCAAATCGAACACGAGGATTTATGCACCTGCACGAATGCATTTTGTTAAAAAATATTACTTAGCATTGTGTTTTAACGATTTTTTTCAAAGGAAAAGTTAGACGCCCGAATGGTATTTGACAAGACTATTTCATGAGTAGTTAACAATTAAAATATAAATTGCAATTTTTGGACAACAGCTGTCAAGTTTTGCCGCTGGTAAACTCGAAAAAACTGCTGACAGGTGCTGTCATACATTTTTTTCACCTAGAAACCATTATTTTGTAGTTCAAAATTGAGCTTTGTGATTGGTGGAAATTAAGACGAGGGAAATAGTCAGTGATAAAAATACTCTAAAGAAAACAAAAAAAATCAATCTAAACAATATAATAACTACAACTGGTTTTTAGTGACATACTCTCTAAAAATGACTAGTTTTCAAAGTAAAAAAGCAGTCAATAATAAATTTAGTCCACAGCAATTTGTATCCCGGGCATTTAACAGCTTATTATTATGTAAAATTGTCCCCTGAATCCGAAAATTCCGTCAAAAATTATAAAAGTAAAGCAGTTTTTAAGATATAGTCAACAATACCATATTATATGGAAAATTTACTAAATCTCAAAAACGTTCAACTTTTATAACTTTTGACGAAATTTTCGGATTCAGCGGACAATTTTACATAGGATTGACTGCTAAATATCCGGGATACAAATTGCTATTGAAAATAATTATTAGTCGCTGCTTTTTAGCTATTGCAATTAGACTAATTGAATTAGTCATTTTTGACTAATTCTATTTTAGAGAGTTACTACTGTTAAACTTTGCTACCGTCAACTGCAACTATCAAACAAATACTAAAGATAATATGACCATTTCTCTCCTTTTATTTTGATCCTCATATCAAAACAAAATATGCAGCCAATATCAAAGCTGCGAAAGGCGTTTTATAGCGACCGAAAAAAAGAGCGGCTGACGCAAAAAAAGGCAGAAAATTATCCAATGTAGGTTTAAGTATCATATGCAAGAAAGTTTATCGTAATAAGTACTGATTGACTCTTTGATTTTGCGCCCCCGAAATGTTGCGCCTGCGTGCGTGCACGCACTGCACGCTCGCCAGGAACGGGCCTGGCGCTATTAATCACCAACTCATTCCAGTTGCATTCTTATTGGTAAGTTCAATGAAGTCAGCGGCTTAAATTGGAATATACCAATCCATGCCTATGCTTGTCTCTATAGGATAGCATTTCTATTGGATTTAGCCAATATATTGTCTAAATCCAATAGAAATGCACCTGGAATGAATTGGTAATTCATAGCGCCAAACCCATTCAAACCAATTTGAACCAATTTATATTTTTAAATTTGGATTAAAAATATCGGTTGATTTTTCATTTAAAAATAATTAAGATCCAGAAGATTAACCGGGTAAAAAACAGAATTCATTTTTCACAGAAGAGACAAAAAAATTATTATAATTGAGTAACTTTATTTCTTTATTTTTTGTGTTAGTGAGATATGTATGTATTGATACATATAACTTACTAACACAAAAAAGTAATAAAAAAATAAACAAAATTACTCGGTTATGATCATTTTTTTGTCTTTCTTGCAAAGGATGTTTGTAGGGATGGTCAAAATCAAAATTATTTATATCAAATTTTTTTTATTTGGTCCGCTATAACCACCATTCTCACGCCCCCATCGTACCTAAACCTTACACATATCAACATTTTTGAAAGGTATAACGTCACCTGAGAATTATAGTGTTCTATCTGCATTTTCTTTTTTTTATTCAGGTTAGTCTTGTTTTAAGTCTTAAAGATGATATTGATCTATCTATATATAATTGGGGTAGAACAATATGCATCTTTAATACTTAAAACAAGACTAACCTGAATAAAAAAAAGAAAATGCAGATAGAACACTATAATTCTCAGGTGACGATAAGTATAAGTACACAACTACCACTAAGCACAGAAACCCAGAAATTATAAAAGAAACCGACTAATAAAAAAACGACATTAAATAGGGCCCAAAGACTTGTTTGTTTCTTTATGATAGCTACACGAGAGCCCTTTTGCGATATTTTAAAGTATTGGGAATAATCAATTAGCATATTTCTTTTTAGAATCTCACACTGGGAATGCCCAATTGAATTCAATTGTAAATTACCTATGGGTAGCTTTAACCAATCGAAACCACTAAAAAACAGTAGAATTCTAATTGGACTTTTCCATATTTTAAAGTATTGGGAATAACCAATTAGCAGATTCATTTCTAGAATCTTACACTGGGAATGCCCAATTGAATTCAATTGGAAATTACCTATTGGTAGCTTTAACCAATTGAAACCAATTGAAACTACTACATCATGGAAAATACCAGTAAAAACCAATTTCTGTTTTATACCGCTAACAATTAAACCCAGTAAGTCCAATTCAGACCTATTTATACCAACCAATACTTCAATTGGTTTCTATAAGGAATTAATCGGTCATTTACAACAGAGTTTACAACCAATTGATTAAAGGTTTTATCCATAGACCACAAAAGATCATCGTTCAAAAGAGGGCATATTTGGTTTAATGCATTTTGTTCAAATATAAATAGTATTTATTTAAATTATCTGCAAAAATCCAGTAGGTACCCAATATTAAAATAAATGAATTACTTAAGTTGTCTTACCATTTCTCTATCTCGACAATCACATGTTACTCCAGGATATGAACCTCCTTGCCAATAACAACCAAAACCTGGAATCCTTGTGATGTCTTCTTGCGGCGTTTCATCATTTCCAGATAAAATTGCCTTGCTCATTTTTATCAAGTACAGTTGCAAAACTAGAATGATTCCCTTTTTCCAAATCATCATGTTTTCTGTAAAAAAAATAATGATTAATAAACCAATGTTTTACCACACATACAAACTTTTTGGTGCAACAAAAAATGTGCGTTATTATTGCTAAATTCATTTCTCTGTGGTTATGGCTTGACTATAGTATCTACGTTTAAACACTAATGTAAAAATGCATTAAAAATTATATAACAGTACCTACTTTTTACAACACGCAAGGTCGTAGTTTAATGAATTCACGAACGTATACTACTCGACAAATTTACAAGGAATGAACAAGTATATATTTACTATATATATGTATATTAGGGTGCTGAAGTTTATTTTTTTTAACTCTTACCCTCCCAAACGCTTGAGGTGGATAAGATAATAAGTCCTCACGAAAGTCGGACGCTGTAGCTCAAGAGGACTTTTTTATTATCCTACTCAAGCATTTGGAAGTTGAAAAAAAATGTTTTTGAAGCATCCTAATACTATACTTTGACATTCCGTGTCCATTCAAACTCTATTTTTATTAAAGCTAAAGCTAACGTATACGCTGAAGAAAATATAATATACTTTTAATAATACATATAAATAAGTTTTAATTAAAAACCACATTTTAATTTGTTTAATCTATGAATTAATAACTGTGTCAAATAAAAAATTACACATTTAAATTTGGTAAATCATAGAAATTAAAATAAAGAAGTGTTCAATCGTTGAGTGGGGGGAAAGGAAACCTTAATCAATGGTTCAATGTTATTTACCACTGATTTCATAATTTAATTAATAAAAAATGCTTTATTTACTAGAATTTTGTAATAAATTGCCCTGGTTTAAATATTATTCATCACTAGAGACCGGACTTTTAGGCACTTAAAAAATAAAAATCTCCTAAAAAGGCACCAAAAAGGCAAATTGGCAGGCAAGAAGTCAAAATATGCACAAAAAGGGCAATATTAAAAAATAAATTGGTTTTTTTGGCGTGCCCACCTGTATTTGGTGTTCTTGATCTGCATACTAGTGTGTTACGGCTTAGCTTACTATTATGTCTTGAATTAAAAAAAGTACTTTGTTTTTAATTTTAGGCAAAAATTTGGGCACTTTACGCAACCTTTAATGCATTTTAGGCCTTTTAGGCAAGATTTAGTATTTTTTAAGTAAAAAACGGAAAACATTATGTTGCATCATTGCACATTTTGCACTAAGAATTTTTTAATGGCCTATAAAGATTCACGATAAGCATTGCCTACAATCCGGTCTCTATTCATCGCCTATTGGAAACCACCATAAATCATAATAAACAAAACTGATAAAAATGAATGAATATTCCCTGTGGTTACTACGTTACCTTTCGTAGAAATTATATTTTTTTATAGAAATATATTTTTTTATTGAATAGCAAATTTATTCTGTAAGATGATCATGAATGGTAATATATTGTAATTTTCTCTGTCAAATTATTTGTTCATACATGTATATGTATTAGGGTGTCCCTTATTTTTATTTTTTTTACGCATACCCTCTAATTATATTTATTATTTGTTTATATACTCCCAGTAAAAATTTCAGCTCATTCTATAAACGGGAACCCGTGCCGACTTGCATCTGAACCCTCCGTTAGCCAACCTTAGGCGCGCGCGGTATTTTGTAACACGAAACACTTTAAAAAGAAGATATACTTCATGACTGTATTTTTCTAATGATTTTATTAAATATGATTACTAATTAATATTATTGCTTTTGTTTCTATCATTTGTTTCACTAATTTAGTTGATTTTATCCCTTAAATATATTAATATACTAATTAGTATTGCTAAAATATACTGTTATATGAAATTTCAGCTTTTTATAATCATTTCTTTTCTTGATGTCCTCCCAAAAATATTTCAGACAGTTCAATAAGTTTTCGGTAGTCATCTCTCACAATAGACTCTTTTAGTTATTTAGAGTAAAACCCATTAAGTTTATCAATTTCAGAGTTTACGGCCTATTCAACCCTCCGGGTAACTAGCCACTCCCTGTGAAAATATACATTTTTATCAAAGTATACACATAAATAAAACTATATTTTAACATTTGTCAATATTTTATAATATAAGGTTCACATAATAACAAACACAAAATGACTTCGCGACCAACCGTGTTACAAAATACCGCGCGCCTAACGTTGGCTAACGGATGGTTCAGATGCAAGTCGGCACGGGTTTCCGTTTATAGAATGAGCTGAAATTTTTACTGGGAGTATATAAACACGTAATAAATAGAGGGTATGCGTAAAAAAAATAAAAATAAGGGACACCCTAATGTATATGCATATGTTGTTTCATTGATTATAAAATTTGTAAGTATGTAGGTAATATTTAAAAATAACACATTTTATGAGGTATTACTAAAGGTAGCTTTGCTATTAAAAGTAAATTACTAAAACATTGTATTTAGTCGAAAAACATTAATTTTTTATGTTTTACTCAAGGTAATAAATCATTGACACACAGAAGCTATAAAACATCAACATCAAGACCAATATAATCCTATAAATGTCTATTATTAATTACTCATATAATCAATAGATGAATTAATTCATTTGAAGGTTAGTTATTTTTATTTTTTCGAGATGATCAAAATATTTTATTTTGGCTTCAGGAACTAAATAAAAAAAAAAATATATAATTACTCTTTATTTTTTAATATATTTCCCAAGCAACAATTTAAGTATTTGTTACGTATATGGGACTATTGAAGAAACTTCAAAGTGTTTTGCGACAGTCGCCGGTCTCTTTATATTACTCTTTCATTACTACGTTACGACTAAAGTGGGGAACAATTATTGAGTTCCAAAAAGGTAGCAAATATGTCACTAGCTACCAACCCTGCTACTATTTGGGACGTAGCTGCTACGTTACTAGAACGTTCCAATATCGTTGCTAGAGCGTTATAATTACTTTTATTATTTGTTTTTACTTCTATATTAACTGTCTTTGTCAAACTTATATTAGATTATACTATCCCTCCTTTTTTAAATGGAACCACTACGGACTTGGCTTTTCAATGTCGTCGTTTATTAAATTTGTACTGGTAGTTTATAAAGAATAACAATATAATATTTAATTAGACAGGTAGATTTATAAACCCTTTAAATTTTACTGTTGAACTTATGAATTTAGTTTTTGTAAAATAAATGCGCTTCATCAATATTTAAGTATAAACAAATTATTTATTTAGTAATGTTTATAAATAAAAAAATCTTAATATTTATTATTATTTTTTTTATTTAATTATTAATACCGTCTATTACCAACAATATTTCTATTTATTAAAAAGTAAACAACCATTTACAAACAATTAAAATAATTTATTATTTACATTACCACGTGGTACTGTACAGTAAAAAATGGCCGATAAGAAGCATTTTCCTTTGAAGTAGTTTTCGCTACTTTAAAGTTTTTTTCCACTTTACGGTTGTTTTGGTTAGTACCATAAACGTTCCAAATACTAAAATAATAACTTTTAAGTTATTAACTTTGTAGTTTTTAACTCATGTTCCAGTTTCGAGATTTTAACTTGCAAAGGGACTACAAAGTAAAAATAATTATTATGTAATCTTTAGGTAGCAACCGAAAGTAGGTAACTGCTACAAATTAAATTTACTTGAAAGTTTTTTTTACTTATAACATCTTTTTTAAAGTTGCAAAGTCTTCTTGGGGGCAACCAAGTTTTACTTTAATGTTTATTACTTTATAGTAACAATTTAAGGAAAAATTAAGTTTCTGTTACAAAATATTGCTATTTAAAAGTTAGAATTACTTTTAAGTAAAAATTAAAGTAGCTGTTTAGTATACTTAACTAATTTAAAGTTATCACCACTTTGGCAATGGTTTTTGGAACCAAAAATGTTGCTTGGGTTATTATTTTTTTATATTTTTAATATATTATTTCATGACTTTAAAACTAAATATTTTGAAAATTTTTGTATTCACATAAAAATGACTATATGAAAATTAATGTTGTTATTCCATAGTTTTTATTATAAGAATGATTCATACAATTTGCACAACAAAATTTGATACGAATCACTTGTACAAACAATACTAACTTAATTTAATTAACTACCTTTTTATATTTTCCAAAAAAATTACCCATTAACACTATTAATTCACCAGGTCCACCACGATCAAACATTAAATAAAAAAATATACCGCTTAATCTAAGTGTCTACATTGCAGTTTGGCATACTGAGACTCAAAGAGAATGAATAGTTCTATTACGAACAAATTTTTAACTCTTACTGTGACTAGGTGTACCGCGAACCTTATCAGTAGATAACAGATACAAAGCCATGGGTTTATGCAAGCGTGTGACATACCTATTTAATAGGATTTCGTAGAAGTTGTGCTCTATGGCAGTATTATTTGGGGTTTTAGTGATTTGTACACGTACACAGGGTACACCAATTGGATACTTGCAAGTATCCTTCTATAGCATCTCGGCAGTGTTATGTAATGTTATGCATGTTATTTTAATAGGCTTGTAGTTATGCATCCTGTATTATAAATGTTGATTTCAATAAACATACATATTTCTATCTGTATACATTTGTCTTTTACAGGTGATTATTATGTTTAAATATACAGTGTGTGCGATTTATTTGTGGAAAAAATTCAAATTTTCATTTTTTTAAGGTCTGCTAAGATCTAAGATCTTTTGTTTGAAGGAATGCCTCAAATACCTAAATACATAAGTTTGAGCTAAATAAATTTGGTTCCAATTTTAGACCGTAAAAATATCATTGTGTTTTTTTTATTTTGGGAGGTTTCGTCCCCATAACCCTCCGGTTAGATATCTGGCTCTAAGCACAGAACATAAGTCGAATAAATACTTTACGTTTTTTGGACGCATCATGGACTTATATACAGGGTCACTCAAAAAGTAGAATATTTGAAAATTGTGTAAAACACGTTATGCGTGTACATGTAAGGTATTGAGCTCAAACTCTTCATAAAGGTATTTGAGGCACCTTTGAACCAAATGTGCTATCCTTTTTTTAGAAAAAAATGCCTTATCTCTAAAGCAGATCTTGACATGTCTTTAAAAAAATCCTACTTGGTCAAATAAACCTTATCGAAGACTATATGCCAAAAGCAAGTATTACAATTGGCCAACGCGTTCCAAAATAAAGATCAAACCATTGACCAAACAAAACGTAATTTTAAAGTTCGGGGGTTCCCCTGCCGATTTATACACTTATGCATTTTATAGTTGACGAACGACTGCGACAATAAAAAGATGGTAGTGAATATATTTGGATTTTTTTTATCGGCAGTATTTCTTTAACCAAATCTGTATAGAATTAAAAAACCCAATAAAACTAAAAAAAGCCCAATATGTTGGGTTTTATTTAAAAAAAAAACCGGTTTTTTTCCAACCCTGGTTGTTGCGGTCTTAAACCGAATACACTGTATATATTTTTAATGTTTGATTTGTCATATATGACAAGTATACTTATTTAATTTGCGATTTTGAGAATTTGTATTATGGTATTTAATTATGTTAATTAATTAATATTTAATTACATGCATTTTAAAAAGAAAAATATTGTCACTTGATTTGGCTATTTTTATACTACGATTTACTTATTTGGATATTAAAAATCAAATAATAAAATATTTGTCAAATTACCTTAGTATAAACAAATAATGATAACCCAATTAGCAAATATAGTTCCCAGTCCTTTTTAAATGTCACTGCCCCTAAAGTATAGTTCCTAGACCCACCCTGCCACTTAAAATGTTACTCTATAAGGAATAGTCACTTTGAAGTATATTTCGAGAGTGACTGGTTAGTGCCTACCTACCATAAAAGTGGAAAATAAACACACCGATTGCAAGTGGCAAACATGTAATTTAAAGAAGTGGCTGGAACTACCTGAATCTTCGAATATGACACCATAAAAGACCAAAAACTTTATAGTAACTTTTTAAAGTAGCGGTCACCAACAAGTGCTACCATAATGCCTCCATTAAGTTTTTGTTACTTTATAGTAACAATTTAAGTTACGGGGTAGTCGCGGCCACGACACCTGGTTACCTCTAATTTATAGTAGCATTGAAAGTAACAAAATGGTTACTGCGACCTTCCTAGGTCACTATAAAGTAGCCGTCGCTTATCCTTTGCCACTAAAAAGTCGCGGGGATCAAAAATGGCTACTTAATAGTGACCATAACTTAATATACCCTAATAAATGTAATTCCTCAGATTGCATATATGCATATATGTTACGCACTATAGTGTGCTGCTCTGTTTTGGTGTTTTCTTTTCTTGCTTTTAAGCTTTATTAAAATTCTGTAAAATGCTTAAGGTAAATAAAAAGAAATTTAGATATTCTAGTACTTTCTATCAAAGAATTAAACAAAAGGAATCACTGGGAGCCGAAGCATCAACATCAGAAACAAAAACTACATCTTTCTATAATCGTACTGATGAACATCATAAATCAGGTAGTGACATTTTTAAAGCTGTTTGATTCAAACAGTTTGAAGTACCTATTCACATTCAAAGTTGATGCATGTTCTGACTTCTATACCTGAGTCAAGTGTTCAAATCTCGTTCTGATCGAGATGCTGATGAATATTATTAATTCTATCTTACGTGAACGTTTTCACCTTAATAGTCTTTAAATATTTTGTAATGAATAGGAATTTAATATAAGAAATTCAAGGTGCTAAATATTTTTAATGGGTCAAGTTTATCAATACTTCCCTGAAGTATTTGCAGTCAAAGTTGATGTATGTTCTGATTTCTACACCTGAGTCAAGCGTTCAAATCTTGGGCTGATGAATGTTATTCATTCTGCCTTACTTGTAGGTATTTGGGCTATGTAAAAATGAATATTGTATGCTCTCTACTTAAGTCGTGGATTCGAAGATTAAGTGGAAGAGAACGTTTCAAGATTTAAGAGAGTAATTAATAAACCTAGAAAAAACGACACGAGACGGAAGTGACGTCATAAACGGTGTGGGTCCTGTTTTTTTATAATAATTAATTTTTTTGAAAATAAATGAATAATTTCATGTGATCATAAGAATTGCAATAACCAGTAAAACATTAGGTTTGATAATATTCAATTTGCATTTTACAAAAAATATGATTCTCGCGTCGCCAAACGGGAACTTCAAAGGACAAGCCGGAACGTTATAGTGGCACGCCGCGATCGGTGTAGCATAAACGCTGCAATTAAGTGGCAATTTAGTGGCGCAGGGAACTTTCTTGGAAAAAATCACTTTATGTTCCAAAGAATCGTGGACCATGTAGTTCCCAAAAAGTTATTGTTTCCATAAAGTCGTCTCTGGGTAGTTGCAATTGTCACTTTATCAATCCGAAGATTTTAAAGTTCCAAACGGGTAGGGTTGGCCTAATATATTATTGTTCCCGGTACTTTGTGGAAGCATATGGAACTATAAAGTATTTTTCGGATTAAACGGCCATATTTTTTTCATGACTTTTCAGACGAACAGCCAAATGGCTCAAACATTTTGCGTTTTTAAGCTAAATATACCTAAACTAAAGATTTTTTCCTTAGATATTTTGTTATTTGTGACGGTGGACTAATATTTTAAAGTTTCACGCCAGTTTTAAGCAAATTAATTTTTTTTTTAATTACTACATGAGTTTCTATTGCAAATAATTTAATAATTTGAAATGTTTTGAAAGGCGCTCGAAAATTTTGTCATATAAACCCACTATTTTATTCAGTAAAGTCGATTGCGTTTTGGAATTGACCCACAAAAGGCGTTAAAATCGCATGGTAAATAACAAAAAAATAATAATGGCTTCCATAATTACTTTCCATCATGACATTTATTTTTATGAAGTGTGAAACTGAAGAGGTCGCTGCGAATAAAGTTTAACAGTTTAATGAAAGTTCTACATGTCGGTGGCAAAACACTAGGCTGCCACGAACCCGCGACTAGGCAGCTTCGTAACAGATAAGTCGCATTCAACGGTAGGCTACTTTATAGTGCCATATCGTAGTAACTCTTTTAGTGGCAAAAACTACCCAAGACACTACCCGGCTACTCAAAATCTTTCCCCATTTTGGTCGCAGTTACTTAGCAGCTACGAATATACAACGTAGCCGCCGATGGTCACCGCCCCCTTTGTAGTGGCTTTGATAGTGGCAGTTACGTATCTGCCACCATAAATGCTAGTTGGGAACTTGTTTAACTACTGTCCTACTTATTTAATTTGAGATTATGAGGATTTGCATTATGGTAATTAATTGTGTTCATTAATTAATATTTAATAAAATACATTTTAAAAAAATTGTCACTTGATTTGGGTATTTTTTGTATTATATATTAACTTTAATAATCAATTATATTTTTAAGAAATATACCACGATTTACTTATTTGGATGTCAAAAATTAAAATATTATTTAATCTCATTTTCTTTCTTAAACAAATCCTAAAATATTTGTCAAATTACCTTATTATAAACATATAAAGATAACTTTTTTCACTAAATCTGCACTTTAAAACAGTCAAATTTACTACATTCTGCCACTGAAATTGTTTTAAAATAAAAAAACCCACTTGCGAATTTAACAGACGATAATTTGAGAATCTACGCTCCGCGTTGGGGCACATAAATACGTAGATAAAATTTCGAAGCAATTCTGTGATCGGGTTAAGTGAACGCGTATTTACTCGTTTTTGTTGTATCAGCGGTTTAACATCTTCGTCGCGCAACACCTAAGTAAACATGAGCCTTTTTTAAACACCACTGGCGCGAATAATACTTTCAATAACACTTGGTTTAATTTTAGACCGAGATTGTTTGTCACTAACGAACTTTTGTCTACTTTATTTGATTATTGTTCATTTTGAGGAGCACATGTTTCCTTATCGACCCAATAGGAAACACTGCGGAAAATAATGCTTAGAAAATTTAATAGCGCGCTTTTGTATCGCTGAAGTGTGTTGTTATGGTACAAGTTGCTATAGATGTTTTAATCGATACACGGCTGAGACTTAATTTGTAAGGTTCATTTTACTGCTTAAACTGCACACTCAAATTGTGCTTTAATTTGATCACTGATTTGTCTGTGAATTTATTTATTGCAGGAGCGGAATCACTCAATTTTTGTTAGGTTAGCGGCCCGCTAATAGAGGGTTTACTATAAAACAAGTTTGCAAAAAAAAACTAATAAAGCCAAAATTATTGATAAATTTAGTTATAAAAATTTTGGCGTATGTTTTTAATCTCAAGCTACCTATATGG